GACATCAGTTTAGTGGAGTTTTTATATACAGTAGAAAAAAGCATTTTAAGTTTAATTTGAGTGGGGTTTAATGAAAAGAGATATTTAGTCAGAAAACACCAAAACCCTCCGTTTTGGGGTTTGCTCCATAGGCTTGAGCTCCTCCTTTGTTCTCCTTTGTTCATTTCACTTTTTTTTTGTTGTTGTGTGTTCTCTTCTCCTACCCTCACCCAACTCTTCTCCTACCCTCAGGTTTCTTCTTCTCTTCTGCTTTTAGTCTCTGATTTCCTTCTCTCTGTGTTTCTTTGCCTTTGCCGTATTATCCAAAGCTTTCTCGTGTTTTCTTCAATCTCTAAACTTTGTTTTCGCGTAAAACTGCAAACTTCACATTACCCATCTTTGAATTGATTATTTTTAGTTAATTCGCAATGGCGCCTCTTGCAATTAAAGTTCTCCTCTTTCATGCTTTCGTTTCAATTATTCGAAGAAAAGCATTTCGATTTTATTTTGGGGTTTTAGTGATTTCCCACTTCTTCTATCGTTCTAATCTATTGCTGTGTTAACAATGGAGCAAAGATACAACTGGGTTTTGTTGATGTTACAAGTGTTTGTTCTCTTGTTTGATTACTCGTAATTGAGACATTTGGTTTTGATTTCTTAGCCTTTCATGAACAGGTCTTGTTTGGGGAATTAACCACTGGAATTGGATTGGTCGTTTGTAATATCCTACAGTAGTTGGTATCATCAATATGGCAACCTATGTTTCACCGTGTTTCACTCCCTCGGATTCTCGGTTGCTCACTGTTCTTAGAAAGAATGTTTTACCAGAGAATCATTTAGGCAGGTTTCACTCTTTTAGAATGATTGTGAGTAAGAAAAACCGAGTCGTTGCTGCTCAGAAATCTGATTCTTCGCCAATCAGAAACTCTCCACGGCATTTCCAAACCCATGCTCAAGATCCTTTCTTGAACCTTCACCCGGAAATATCCATGCTTAGGGGTGAAGGGGTCAATACAATAGCTAATCCACGAAAGGAAACGTCTGCTGGACCTGTTACCGAGGATTTTGAAGAGCCATCTGCTCCGACTAATTACAATGAGGCCAGGATTAAAGTTATCGGTGTGGGAGGTGGTGGATCAAATGCTGTGAATCGTATGATAGAGAGTGAAATGTCAGGTGTTGAGTTCTGGATTGTGAATACAGATATTCAGGCTATGAGGATGTCTCCTGTTTTACCAGATAATAGGTTACAAATTGGTAAGGAGTTGACAAGGGGTTTAGGTGCTGGAGGAAATCCAGAGATTGGTATGAATGCTGCTAGAGAGAGTAAAGAAGTTATTGAAGAAGCTCTTTATGGCTCAGATATGGTCTTTGTCACAGTATGTCCTCAAAACTTTGTCATTACTACTGCATTCATTCTTCTATAGTTAAAAACTTTGATTGTGGATAGTCTGTGTCATGTCTCAATCACTAACTTCTTGTTTTCATATGTCCATAACAGTGAGGTTTATATATGTGTCAAACAATAGAAGGTTTACCCAGTAAAATATCCCACCATGGATTCTTTCTGTAAATCTACTGCCTCTAGCAAATAATTGTAAGGTCAATGTCACTGTCTGAGCATTGCTGCTTGCATGTCTTCGTCCTTTTATAGGCTGGAATGGGTGGTGGAACTGGCACTGGTGCAGCCCCTGTAATTGCAGGAATTGCCAAGGCGATGGGTATATTGACGGTTGGTATTGCAACAACGCCTTTCTCGTTTGAGGGCCGAAGAAGAACGGTTCAGGCTCAAGAAGGGCTTGCATCTCTCAGAGATAATGTTGACACTCTCATCGTCATTCCAAATGACAAGTTACTTACAGCTGTCTCTCAGTCTACTCCGGTAACAGAAGCGTTTAATCTAGCTGATGATATACTCCGTCAGGGGGTTCGTGGGATATCTGATATAATTACGGTATAGCTTTTTCAAGGACTCCCTGTGATCATTTTTTATGTATGGTGTATGGTTTATCAGAGATCTTTGTCTTTGCTTTGTAGATTCCTGGATTGGTGAATGTGGATTTTGCTGATGTGAGAGCTATAATGGCGAATGCGGGGTCTTCACTGATGGGAATAGGAACTGCAACAGGTAAGCTTGGAATGATGGATAAGCTCATTTAGTTGCATAACTGCATAACCACAACCACTAGTCACTAGATATGTGTCGAAGTAGTCTAGCTGAATTTATGAGCTGGTAGATTTGGTGTGGCAAAGAAACCAGTCTAATGAGGGGGATACTGAGAGTGACCATCTTATATTCACTGTTACTCATCTACTGTGCATCTATGTCATGATGTATTAATCAAATTCTTTTAATCATGCAGGAAAAAGTCGGGCAAGAGATGCTGCGCTAAATGCGATCCAATCACCTTTGTTAGATATTGGCATTGAGAGAGCCACTGGAATTGTTTGGAACATTACTGGTGGAAGTGACTTGACATTGTTTGAGGTTTTTCTCTCTCTATCTTTATTTATTATCTCAGTGTAGATAGATTCATTATCAATAATGTGATAGTGAGAGACGCAATGTGAAATTATTTGGTTTCTTCCTTCCATAGACAACTTAGAATAAAAGCCTGCTTTTGACTCATGTCCCTTAACATGGTCTATACACTTTGATCCTTGTAGGTAAATGCTGCTGCGGAAGTTATATATGACCTTGTCGATCCAACTGCCAATCTTATATTTGGTGCTGTTGTAGATCCATCCCTCACCGGTCAAGTATGTCCTTTTGATTTATTTGTCTTCTACTAAACATATATATCAATATATGACCTCTAGAGATATATAATTGATGGATTTTTTTGGTAAAAGGTAAGCATAACCCTTATAGCTACTGGTTTCAAACGACAAGAAGAGGGAGAAGGACGGGCGGCTCAGATGGCACAAGCGGATGCTGTGTCAGTTGGAGCTACAAGAAGACCCTCTTCCTCCTTTAGAGAAAGTGGTTCAGTGGAAATCCCAGAGTTCTTGAAGAAGAAAGGCAGCTCTCGTTATCCCCGAGTATGATCACTATCCTGCACGCCTCAACAATAACAGACATGTGTTACTGTACTGCCTTCTCTCGCGGATACAGCAAGATGTTTTGATGTATGATCACAATCTATGTGGGTGTGTGTATATGCTCTCTCTCCCTCTATCTGCCTCTGGTTCTTGAATAGGTTGTTTTAGAAATGTTATGTCACTTATCAGAGAAATAAACATACATATGAATCATGATTATGAAAGTTTTAGCACAAAATTGTTATCTTTTCAAGTGAGATAAATTATATCAACATGGTTTTCATTTTTCATTTCATTTGATGTTCTTTTTTTTTTTTTTTGGACAACGTCTGCAATTATTACCCTTATGTGAACAGTAAACAGTAAACACTGTGACCTGAGAATAACAAAAGATAAGAGAAAGAACTCCGATTTAAGATTTTATTTCATACATGTTCCGGTCGATTACTTAATCGTAAATCAATGATAGGAGGAGTACTTGAATCAAGGGGAGACGAAACAGTATGAAGACATGTCAGAGGCTGCAGAAGAATGAAATGTCTACCCCTCACTTGAAAAGGCGGCGCATTTGAATATACGAACCAGAAACATGTTTACAATTTTCCATATATATAGCTTGGGTCTAGTTTACACAGACAAAAAACAGGTTACAACAGCCGGACTTGCTTTCTTGAGAATTTGGCGCAAGACAAGCTATCCATCAATCTATTATATGTAAAGATATCAGGCAACATATCTTTATCCAACATCTCGTTCACTAGAACTTCTCCTTCTTTTCTTCTCCCTTCTTTCGTGAATCCCGAAACCAAAACATGGTATGTTGTCTCGTCAGGTTCATATCCTTTGCTTGATGCCAAAAGTCTCAATCTGTTTGCGTCAATCGAATGATCAGAATTGCAGAGATCCCGAAGAAGCAAGTTAAAGGTCACACTATCGGGAAGGACTCCTGCATTCATCATCTTCTCCATAAACCCCGATGCTTTCTCTGTTCTTCCTGATTTCCTCAACCCTTCAACAAGTGTAGTACAAGCTATTAAACATGGACTTTGTCCTTTCTTCCACAGCTCCTCCACCATCTCCATTGCTCTATCCGCCTTGTTTTCTCCGCAGAGTTTCTCAACTAGACTACCATAATCAAACTCATTCGGTAAAACCCTCTTGTTCGAAAGATCGATCACCAATCCACAAGCATCACTAACCCGTCCTTCCCTACACAATCCATCAACCAGAATCTCACAAGAGGCTTCCGAGAATCTACAACCTAGCTCAATCATCTCATAAGCCATTTTGATACCTTCCTCGATATTACCCCTGCTCAAAAACCCTCTAATCAGAGTGTTGAAACTAACCACATTCGGTTCACAACCTCTCTCCTTCATCTCCCTGAACAAATCCAATGCCAAATCAAACTTAAAACTCCTGCAGTAGCCATTGATGAGAATGTTGAATGTGCATACATCTGGCTTTGCCCTTTCCTTTCCCATCCTCTGGTAAAACCTTAAAGCCTTGTCCATATCTCCACATTTCACATACCCATTCACAACAGTGTTATAAACTTCAATATTTGGTTTACCATCGATCAATCTCTTCATAGTATCAAACGCTGACAAAGCATAATCCATTTTCCCAGCTCTACAGTACGCATCAATGGCGGACCGGAAAATAAGTTCAAGCTGTGGACAAGAGAAGATACCTGAAGAACAAGGACACGGATTCGCCGCTATGAAAGAGAGGAGACGGTAAAGATCGTCAAACCTGTGTGTGGCGGCGAGTGATCTCGACATCCAGAGGAAAGAATCGTGATCGTGGCGGAACGTGTCGAGCGTAGCTGCCCAATTGAATACGGCGAAGTCATAATGAGCGAAGAGAGAGTGGTGACGGAGCTTCGAACGAAGGAATCCGAGGAGAGTTTGTGGAGTTAGTGTTTGGTGGTGAGGGAGATTGTTTTCGAGGAAATTGACGAAATTGGAGTGTTTGGGAGATGGAGAAAGAGTAAGCGTCGGTGGAATTGAGGTCTCCGGAAGTTTCGGTGGAGGATTTGGTAATCGGTAAATCTCCGGCGACGGCGGTTTAATCGGCGCCGGGAGATGATTGGACTTGGTGACGAGATTGATAACGTTGTTCTTGTTCCATCGCATCACTCTCTGTTTTGTCAAACAAATCGAAAAAAAAAATCCCAACTTTTAACGAGTTTGGATTCACACAAACCGGAATAAACCGAGATTTAAACCAATTTTTAAACCCTAGAAATGTAGAACCAGGAAATGCTTCTGGGAATCCATGGTCAGTTCCAAAGATGAGAACTTTGAGCTCCCAATTATACTTTAATGGCGGTGGTCTCGCTTGGTTCCAGAAGAAGAATCAGAGGTCTCCGTTCAACAATCATCTAAGAATCTCTAAACCATCGAGGGTTCAGGTTATCTCTGCTGTTCAGTTCCGACCTTGTATCGACATTCACAAGGTATGGAATCAAATTTTCACCGATTTGAAATTCCTCAGTAGTGTTGAATGAAGTGAACTCTTTTAATTGATCTGTGTGTGTGTGATTTGATTTTCGATAGGGAAAAGTGAAGCAAATAGTTGGATCCACACTTAGTGACTTGAAGGAAGATGGTTCGGTTCTTGTTACAAATTTTGAATCTGACAAGTCTGCAGAAGAGTATGCAAAGATGTACAAAGAAGATGAGCTTACGGGTGGTCATGTGATAATGCTTGGAGCAGACCCTTTAAGCCAAGCTGCAGCTATTGGAGCATTACATGCTTATCCAGGTATGCCTTTTGATGAATGTCAAATGGTGTTTGGTTTGTACTGTTTGAATTGAAATGTAAAGTTTTGATGTGCTATATATGATACAAGACGATGAATTCTAGGCGGTTTACAAGTTGGAGGTGGGATCAATTCAGAGAATTGCTTGAGTTACATAGAGGAGGGAGCAAGCCATGTCATTGTTACTTCGGTATAGCCATCTAGCTCGCTGAGTGTGTTATCATAGGGATTTTACCAGTCGTAATCACGTTTTTGTTCATATTTTCAGTATGTATTTAACAATGGAAAGATTGATCTTGAAAGACTCAAAGATCTTGTAAACATTGTTGGGAAACAAAGACTGATATTGGACCTTAGCTGCAGAAAGAAGGTAATTCTGGAATTAGTTTTATCTTCAGATAAATGTTATTAAGTCTTATGTCATGTAAAAAATCCGTAAACTTAAATGGATATGCGTTGCTATCTAGGATGGAAGATACGCAATTGTTACTGATAGATGGCAGAAGTTCAGCGATGTCATCCTTGATGAGAAATCATTGGAGTTTCTTGGAGGATTTGCAGATGAGTTTCTGGTGCATGGAGTAGACGTTGAAGGAAAGAAGTAAGCTTAGATATCTCAACGCAGTGATTTCAGTGTCATAGAGTAAATTTGCTTTACATTGAAAATACAGTGTTATGTCAGTATGTACTGATCAGTGATGGTAATACTTCTTCTTTCAAGGCTAGGGATCGATGAAGAGCTTGTAGCATTGCTTGGCAACTATTCTCCGGTGAGTATCATAGTATTTTCTTGATTGAGTATCATAGAGGCTCTAGAATGTCTTTTATCTATATCAAGGTGCTTTATTTTGCATATGACTTAGAATTAATCTTATAAATTTACAGTAATTGACACTTTGACAGAACTCTACTTAATTTACAAACGTGTGATGCAATAGATGTTGATAAAACCGGAATTGGATTGGATGTTATGGTTATGATTCGTTGGAGACAGGCTAAGAACTATGATGGACTATAATTAGTAGAGAAAGCTGGATTGCGAAATTGTTCATTTGAGCTTGATCTCAGAAGTTTGTTTTGACCTTGACAGATTCCGGTAACTTATGCTGGAGGTGTGACGGTGATGGATGATGTAGAGAGGATCAAGAAGGCAGGAAAGGGACGTGTAGATGTAACAGTTGGAAGTGCCTTAGACATATTCGGGGGAAATCTACCATACAAAGACGTCGTCGCATGGCATCACAAGCAGCTCTCACTCCACTGATTTCTTCCCTGTTTTCAACTTGCCTTTAAGCTTCAATGTTGGCAACACTATTCTTCAGCCTGAACATTTGTCAAAAAATCCTAAAAGATCTTGAATATTTTCCATACGAGTTTTGTCTTTTCAATCTACCCTTATCGCCAATTATCATCTTCTCAGAAATGTCTCGTTCCCCAACCAAAAAAGAATAAAAATACTAATACATTTTGTTTGACAACACTCATATACAAGAAGATGTAAAACATTAGCTGAACTATGTACAACCGAAACCAAGAAGTATACAAAAAAAAAAAAAAAAAAAAACGGTGCGGTGGGTGAAACTCACCGTTTCTCGCGTTGCCGCCGTGTTTTCTTTCAAAAATAAAAAACGTTTAACTAGCTGCCACGTCATCACCAACGACTTTTCAAAAACTACACAACAGATCCCACCAATAATTTCAGACAAAGACAACGAAAGTACTGTTTCTACTCTCCTTTTTTTTGCCCACCCTGGGGACTTAAAAACACTATAGAACTTGACCCCACATGTATTAACACACACACACACACTTGTCACGCGGCCACGTCAACATCCTCCACCATCCAACAAATCCTCTCTTCTTCTTCCGGAAGCGAAACGCGTCATCCCACCTAAACCGGGTACCACCTGTTCTCCGCCGTCACCAGAAGAAGAAGAAGAAACCTTCTCAGCAGCTTCCGCCGGGAGCCGGTTCCTGATATCGTGTTTCCTACTCGACGCCCCTTGTGATCCACGCGCCGACGTGTCTTTGCAGCCGCCTTTGATCCTGAAGATGGCTCTGAAACTCGCCATAAACCCGGATTTCTTGACCCGGTTGTTAGCCGGTTCGACCCGGCTCGATTTCTGACGCTGCATGCGGCGGCTTCTATGTCTTCTGGATCTCACTGTCCCGATGCAAGAGACCTTAGGAGAAGAAGGCTCGAGCAGCGATGTATCCGTCTTTGTTCTTGACCCGACCCGTCTCAAGATGACTCGATTCTTGCCGCCGTGTCTCCGCTGCTTCACCTCGTTGAAACAAGTCGTCTGCGGTTTCGGTAAACCGATGAGCGACGCTTTGGATTTCAGTAAGAACCGTTTGGAGCTAGGGTTCGAGTGTGGATTTGAGCTGAGTATCCCTGAGTTCCCTCTCTGTGAATCTTTGCGGTCAAAGAAGGCGTTGTCGCTGAGCCACTCCAGCTGATCAGCATCTTTTGACAAGTAATAAGATTCCGGCGGGAAATCATTCGGACTCACGGCCGAATTATTGCTGTAATAAGGTGGGATCGACGGTTCGTCGACGAGGGTCTCACATGTGATCTTCCGGTGGTCGGAGCCACCGACGCATACCGAAGAAACAAAGGCTTCTAAATCGACTTGGTGCATAGAGAAAAGCTTGTAGAGAGAAATGGTAATGTGAAAGCTTTTGAGATATTATTATTATTTGAAGGTGAAGAGAAAGGATTGATGCGAGTAGGGCTTTTTATATTACCAAAGACCAAAGCTTCTTTATTTTTCTGATTTTTTTTTTGTATTTCTTTTTGTCTTCTTATTGTTTGATTATGACTTATGCTCGAAAAACCTGGAGGAGGAGGAAGAAGCGTCGACGTAAAATACACAAATATTTTTTTTTTTTTTAACAAAAATATGCAACGAAATTTAATTGAAAATAGCCAAATATGATATACTACTTAAAGTGGGTATTTAAAATGATTGATATATATAGTAATATTTGAATTGTTTTATAAGTGCTTAGATCGTTAAAAAACGATGTTCTGTAGAGATTATTTTCCAGAAAAGGGGTATTTTATTTTAATGACAAGGTTAAGGTCTTTTTTAAAAAATTCAGTATTACCCACAAAGATATTAGTTTAATTGATTCAAGTTGAAACAGAAAAAAAGAAACCAGCGAAAACTTTGCTAAAAATTGCTAACTAACGGTTTATATTATATAAATTTTTCTTAAGTTTATATATAGTACTATTGATAATTAGTTTTGGTGATATATATATGTGTGTACACATTAATAATCCAGCATGATAAAAGATTCGTCTAATTTTTTTCTGGCGGCCGATTCGTCCTTTTTAAGGGGTTGGATCCAGTTAGCTGACTCATATGATTTAACGTATCCTTCTGATTAATTTTTTCGTCGTCTTTATTAAATTGGAATGGCACCAAAATCATTTCTTGGAAGCTTCTAAATGAATTCCTTATTATGAGGTGCAATATTAATATATAAACGTACAAAACTTCGGAAAGACAACGTCAATATAACAAGTAGAAACCTAACTAATATATAAGAAGTGACCTGCGTTAATATGATTCAGAAAACAGATTTGTACGCATTTGTAAAACAACAATTTTAATAACATGGTTTGACGATGATTTTGCAAGTAGAAAACCAAGAAGGCACAAAGAATCGGCTAACTATGCTAATTTACATTTTGTTTACGGTTCACAGATTATATTACACAAGTCAATTTATCTCTTTCTTTTTGGTATACTGATAATGTTACACATGCATAAACTATAGTATATGCTTATGTGAGTGTAGGTTTATAGGTTTAATAAAATATACAGAATATGGTTATTTTAGGTCACTGTACATTTTTATTTGTAACGAAACTTGTTTCTTTAAACTATGCAGTTAAGATATTTGTTATATCCTTCGGACGGAAAAAAAAAAGATATTTGTTATAACCAGTTTGTGAATCAAGGTAGACTCTAATTTCTTTTAAATTTTAGATATGTTAAAGATATTTAATATATATCCATTATTTTACAAAATTTAAAGGCTATTAATCTAGTTATATTCTGACCAATTTGAATCCCAATATTCTTTTCTTAACTAGGATTTCATTACACAATTCCAAAAAAGGATACAAAACATGTAGTCATGTAGACCACATACCCATATGCATGTCTAGTAGAATTGTGTATTATCGTTTTCCACCAAGATCAGATTCAGGGAGCCGAAGATAATTATAATATTAATACCTAAAAAGAAACTGGTTGATGCAATCGACTAGAAACATTTTAGCATGTTGTCTGCATTCCGACATATCACATACTTCAGGGGTCCTATACACTTCGACTTACTCTGACACTTCTTCCTGACATGTCTTCTTCCTCTATTAATATTAGCCTATGAATAAATAAATACTTCTTCCGTTGGAAGTATCGATCTCCGTTGGTGACATTGTACCATGAACTATATATATCACAATAAATCATTGTTGTGATAGAGAGAAATGGTGCAATAGGGTGGTAAAATTTTGCTGTATAAAATAGAAAAAAGGAAAAAAATTAGCTGTACAAAATGTTGTAACGTTAATTTGTTGTATTGCAACACTTATACCGCTAATGTACAGTAATAAGTAAGTTTCTCTCTTAAAATTGTCGACTGTAAATTTGAGTTTACTATCCTTAGTCCTTACAGTTCAGTATGTATGATGTTATCGACAATTTTTTATCTTAGTAACTTGACCTTTTTTATTAGCTTAAATAGTACACGCATTGAGAAGAATTTTAAACTTTAAGTTATTTCTTCAACGTTGGGCGAAGTATGCATCTTTAGAATCAGCATTTAGAAAAAGAAGCACCCACCAACGAAGTAATGTGTTACTTTCAATATTTTATATCACAAACACACATCATTTGATCAAACACATAAATCATAAAATAAAGGCCAGAATGAACACAGACTAACTTAATATGCTTTGATAAAACGTACCTTTCCTAAAGCATACAGGGATGCAATATTGTTTTTATAGCTTTCCGTCCTCGTGTTTAGCTTTCTATTAGTTTTAATTCCATGTTTTCCGAAGTTCTGGTCAAAGTCTTGAGGATTCGTGTTTTGATCTTCCGTATATTTAAAAAGAACTAAAAGTATGTAGAAAAAATGTTTATTTGCATGTAGACCCTTTTGGGGCAGTTTATAATATTCAGAACTCTCTAAGCGACTTACAAATTTATCTAAATAGTAACCACTAACCTTGAATATTACATCTGCATATTTCATACTGATATTTATATATTGTCCATTTTTCTTTGTCATATGAGAAAAGGACATTTGATTTTTATTTTCAGAACTAGGTTACATATGGTTTTGGAGCTGATTCGATTTGAGTCATTGACTAAATCTTACGTAATCTGTGATGAGAATGTGTAAAGAGAAGATCGTCAAAAGCTTTGAAACTTGTTTGCAGTCAAATTGTCCAACCAATTAATAGACTAAACTATAATACATAACATCAATAATTTAGAATAAAATAATATAACGAGTATGAACTCGATCCTTTCTAACGAGAGTATGTGTTTCTTCTAGAAGATCGCTATGCCTTATCGATTAAAATTTAAAACCAGCTCGATAGAGCTTTTTTTTTTTTTTAATTATTATATCAAATATGTTTGTCCTAGGCTCTTACAAACATAGAAAGAAGAAAAGTAGTATTTCGAATGTTCTAGTTAATATCGTAATGTTTTAGTCACAGTTGAGCTATCTCGAGACGGACCACACTCCTCAGTTTCTAGAAGGTAAAATGTCTAATGCTTATCTAGTTGTGGTCGTCGTCACGAATGACATATTTGACTAATTCAGTTCCTCCTCACAATGAACTATTTTTCCGAAACTCATAACGAATCTGATTTCCTTCGTCTACGTGTTTCGTGTCTTTGTGTTAAAAAAACAGTAAAAAAGTCAGTTGTCAGTAAAGTGAATAATGTTATAGCACTCAAAATATTGGCTAATGAAAAGTCCAAATTGTGTTTAGAAAACGTTCAACCAGGCCAATATTTTTTTGTAATTGAGCTTCGAAATATGTTGGGCTGGGCCTATAAAGATATGAATTGAGTTGGAGATAATGTGATGGATTTATCAAGCGATTACAACAAAATAACATATATTTGCATGCACATTATATAATTTAGTAGATGACGTCGACATCAGATAGTTGGAACTTGGAAAGTATACACCTTAAGGCTGAACCACACATACTCGTGAATTTAACCACCAGTATACCCCAAAGCATGGGAGAATGAGTTTCAGTTAATGGAATACACAGCCGTTCTCGCTGACCAAGCAACACCGCAATGCGGCACATGATGCTCTTCCGATTACTCGATGTGCTTCACAAGTTAAGGATAGATGCAGCCCCTGTTCTCGATACAGCGGGTGATTCTGGTGTATGCAAAAGCTGATGCATGCCCCGCCTCTTTGGATCATGAAGTGAATTTATTGAAAATCAAGAACATGTGGCTTCGGAAGTCCACCGACTAGTTTATACAAAAACTCAAACTTATATAAAATTAAACGAAAAATACATCATAGAATGGTGGTACATATATATACTTATCTTTAAACTATATAGGATGCATTCAAAAACGAAATAGCATATTTTCATTATCATGCATATATATACCGTAGTCAAGATTGTTGCATCTTTTAAGAAATTCCATATGGTTAATATATAGTAATACTAATGTATAAAATATATGAATCTCAATTGGTTTTTAATTAGAGGTGATTCCTCACATGGTCTAAAATTTCAGTAAATTGAAAGAAAAATAACAAAATAACAAATGTAACATTTGGTCCGCATAAACTTAACATATCCAAAATATGTATTAGAAATCATACATACAAAATAATATATATGAATGAACCAACGCTAATACATTGACAAATTCCTCCACTCATTACTATCTGCTTTTTACCAGATGAAAAGTCATTGTTCTTTACAGTAAATTTTGAAGACATTTAAATCACAGAGAATATACCTATATAAGCAAAGTCATGATTGTGCTTGTGCATGTGAGAACCAATAACCATAATTACAACGACTCTATAGTTTACCTATGACTCTAACTCAAGCATCCATCGATTGTCCACGTGAAATGACATTTGGCCCAAAGACTCCAAACACCGATAACCTTTACACTATAAAAGATATAGTATCAGTGTATTCTCATAAGTCAAAAAAACTTATATCGAAAGATAAACGAAATGTAAAAACCGATACACATATGTTCTATATATATACCGTATCAACTCATTTATCTAATTCCTTTACACATTTGTACGTCATATATAGTCTAGTAATTCCAAACCGATACGCATTTGTTCTATAATTGCATTTTTCAGTCCGAGTTTATAATTAAAATTCTACGATCGATAAGTCATATATGAAGACAAAAAAATAATAACTCCTAGCTAGCATATGCTACTCCTATATAAGAGGCTGGGACATTTTCAAAGAAAAGAGGCGGACCTAGAGAGATTCATAAGCTAAACCCAAACATAAAGGAACGGGAGAGATAAGAGTCATAGTCATAGAACTAGGCAACTAGCTAGCATAGCCAATACATATTGGAATGTAATCAAAAATTCGATTCACGTAAAGGAAAAAGTATAGTCCACAGATTGTTAAGTAGATCACTTGAGTTCAATGAGGGCCTACTAGAAGAATTATGAAAAGCTGTAAACCTTTGACTTTGTGCAAAGTCAAAAGTATTGTGTCGTCCCAATATGCTCCAATGATTCTTCCACTTGTCTCGCGAGTTTAATTTTCCAGCTCCAAGCAATCGTTTTCTTACTTGCATCTCCTACTTATTTTCCACTACAACTAAAGATTTATCACAGAGGCTATTTAGCAAAAACTGAATAATTAGCATAATAGCATGCATATGGTGTACAAAGTAAAGCCTTAATTGCTTTTTGATATGTTTGTATGTTGATCTTAAGCTTTTTAAAAATTGAATGATATATTTCTCAACTAGAAAGTCATTTACATGATAGGAAAAAAGAAAAACTGTCGTTTATATTGATTGTATAATGAAGAAACTATATTGATGTGGCTCTTGTGTGTTTAGCCATTGATCAAGCCGACCCTGCAAATCTGTATAATATAGGGAGTTTTTGTCGAGAGGTTTATGCAATCCCGTACCACTTGTTTGATACCAAGAATGGAGCTAGTGGGCTAGTCCATTATAGGATATACAAATATGAATTTGCATTTATCGCATACAAATAATATCAAATGGCGTTTCATAAACAACTTAAAATATGATTTCATTTCAAATGTACATAAAATATAATACTTTAACTAGTAAATGCAAACAAATAATTAGATTTTAATAAAATAAACACATTTCTAACATATACACTTTTTAAATTTGTTTTTTTTTTAATATAAAAATTGTTTTCAAACACTTCACGCACCACGTACCTTTTTCTAATTCCATATATGCAACCTAGAAGAAACGTTGTTGGCTAAGGAGTTGCTCCTGGAAAGGTAACAGCTTGGTCCCTTTATTTTTCCTTTGACATGAACTGCAAGACTTGTTAAATAAACCACAAAAGGAGGAAACTAATGTTTTGTATATTCAATGGTATGAAACCATTAAAATATAACGTCGGAAAAATCTTCAGATAGCTTGTGTTACCGAGTTGTGGACTGGCAATAAGCTTCGTTGGGTGAGTGTTCATCGTTTGGCAGGTAAATTCGTAACATTTATTGTTTTTCCACCCATAATAAATGGTGCATTGAAAAATAGGTGATTGGAAAGAAGTTCACCTCAGACTCACACTTGCTTCCTTTTTGAATTCGATTCATACTTCAAATATTCTGAATTAAAATCATATTGTTTCAATAAAATGGGAAAAGACACAAGTTTTCTTTTCATAAATCATTTAAAAAGGAACAATTTAAAATAGAAAAATACAAATAATTGTTATGTTTTATTCTTTCTTTCTTCTTTTCTGTAAGTAATAAAACAAATATTGAATCCGGATATGTATAAGACAAAACACATCAAATGAGTTCATCTTTATAAAAATTCCACGTACCGACTTTGCTAGATGTTCTCGACCTACGCCTATGAGGTTGGTGTTGAGCATTTCCAATCCAATCATTAAACCGGCCATTAATCATATACCAAACAGAAAATTATAATAACAATTGAATCAACCGTTTTAAAAGTGGATATAAAATTTGATACACTTTTGTTTTCTTCTTCATGCTATTAAGGTCAAAAGAAAGTTATTAATTAAGATGATTTTTTTTAAAAAAAACTAGGATAACGAGAACAGCTAATTAAAATATATACATAAATAGATAATGGTAACAACTAGAAGTTGCAATCGGCTCTCGTTGTATAGGAGTCGGCCAAGAGAGCCGGCTAGAGAATCATTCTTTTCTTCAAATATACAATTATCATATATATAGTTTCTTAGTCAAATATATAATCATAGATGTTTATGATTTAATTTACACATATATATATATATATATATATATGACACGTATAGCACAAATAATTTTGTTTAGATTGTATAGCATAATTTTCCTCTTATAAAAATTATTATATTTTGTGAAAACGTCCAGTCATAGTCTATGAAATTATAACTAAATGAAAAGAAAAAAAAAACTAATTTCTTGATTTTTGATTTGACAGCTGCCACTTTGGTTTTTGATTTTGATAGATATAATTTCTTGTGTAGTTTATATCCCGTAGTTTTAATGCTGAAGAACAAATTTAATCGTCAAAATTGAATCATTGGTATATCTTAAAATTCCAATTTGTCATTAACAAACACAAGTAAATACTTAAATATGGACTATAAAACAATTTGTTATCCTTTTATAACTACTCAAACTAACACATTTGAATGATTTCCGATTTATAAATGATACTATATTTTAAAGTTAAATGACCAAATTCATGCATATATGTCAACATGCAATTAGTGACTCCAACTTACACATTATGATATTGTTATATTTTATACACTAAACTACGACGTTACTTATGACATCTTACCTACTACTAAAACTATATATGTACATGGTTAGATGCACATGCACATTTGTAACAAACATCACTTTAAAAATTACTTGATTTATATCAAACATCATATATATGGAAGAAACATCATTTTAAAATACTTGAGCTCACAGTATATCAAAACACTTGTTGCTTAAAGTATGCCATACCTTTTTTTTTTTTTTTTTATCCTCCAACAATTTAATAAAATTTGTCATATGGTAATCATGTATACATATCCGAAAAGGCATTGGATAATCACCAACTCCTTATGTGAACTTGGAATATTCATTCAGTCATCAGAAAAATCATTAAAATATATACAATTATTAGTTTGTTTTGTAAAACAAGCAATCATCTCTCGTTACTTAAAGGGCCATGTAGATTGTATAATCCTGGATCAAGAGAATGACATCAACTCGTATATTATATTCAATGTCACAGACCGTATATACGAATACGTACGAACCTCCGTGATAAGTTGATAACCTATCGCTTGCGTAAGGAAGGTAAAAATATATATATTTTGGTCTCAAAAGACACATATCACGTAACCATGATTTGCGACGAGATATATGCATTTTGATTACTTATTATTCATTTTTTTATAAATGCACTTCCATCCGCCAAGAAATGCATCCCACTATTCGAAGTCAACACAGACCAAAATATTTACGAAAACCAAAAAATAAAATAAAGTCAAAAGCTCGCTAGTTCTCTTTTCATTGGTATTAGACATCTCATCTTGGTATATATATATAGAACACCAACCATCTTCGTCTTCTTATTTCTTCATCTCCACAATCTAAATTCATCTACATTTATATCTTGAGAGCTTTCAGAGAAGTAAGAAAAAAAACAAACTATAAATACAAAGAATAAAAAACAAAAAAATGCTAGGGAAAAGAATAGCTTCGTTCAAGAACTTAGCCAAGAAAGTGAAGAGCATTAACACGACGACGACGAGAAGCGGAGGAGACAGTGGCGGCTCAGAGTCAACACAGAACGAGTCTCTTCTGATGAGCGAGGCGGATGAGGCGGCGATGATGGCTACGAAGACGCCAACGGGGACGTTCGCGGTGTACGTAGGGGAAGAGCGCGTGAGGCGCGTGGTTCCGACAAGCTATTTGAATCATCCTCTGTTTAGGATGCTACTAGACAAGTCTCACGACGAGTTCCTCTGTTTCGAGCAGAAGGTTATGTTGGTCGTCCCTTGCAGCGTATCCGTTTTCCAAGACGTCGTCAACGCCATCGAGTCTTGTAACGGAAACTTTGATTTCGGCGATTTTGTCGAGGAGTTTCTATAACTTATTAATCTCGTCTTCTTCTTTATAACTATTATTATTTATTTTTTTCTTCTTAAAACGTTTTCTAGGTCTTTTTTTAGGGGAATTATATTATGTATACGTAGGATTTGAATGATTGGTTGTGGAAATATGTCATTGAACACCCCTTTGTTGCGTGGTGTGGAATTTGTACTTTTCCCCATAATTAATTATGATTTGTATTTCCTATAGCTTTCCATTTGACCTTAATGTTTCGTCGTTTTTTTTTTAATGCTTGGAACATGCATGTATGAATGTTTGTGTGAAGACATGTTGGTGAATAGTGAGTTGAGTCAGAGCTTGTCTCGAATCGTGTATTCCAACATCGTAGACTACTGCCACTCCGAGTCTGTGACACCAACGAGAAAGAGAATTGAAGTGTCTGTAAGAGAAAGATAATTTAGTTGTAAAATAACGTATGGACGATTGTACAAGGCTTTCAAGGATAATTTGTACATTCGACACAGTTTCCAAGTTTAAAAATATGTCATATCTTTGCTTCTATATTATATTTTCCACCACAAAGATGTTAAACTTTGCATATATGCTTCTCACATTCAACTCTTTGGTCTCTTATAAGGGGAAAAGATAGGGTGCAAATTTATTTTATGGCGGGTCAGTTGGGCCTTAATGGGCCGATACATAAAATATGGACATTAGCACACGTCAAGCGTTGGCATGTAAAAGGGAAGGGGCAAAATGGTAAAGTTATACGAAGAAGCGTTAAAATTCAAAAGTGAGAAAAGAGGAGCGGCTCTTCAAATTATTTCAATTTTCAAATCTCACATCCACCCCCCGCTCTCTCAGATTCCGTCGCCGGTGAGTGAGAGAGAACTTCAAATAGCGAAACCATTTCGGATCTTGCTGAGAAGAAGAAGGTAATTGGGTTTTTGAAAATCAGTCTCTCTGGATTCGCCGTCCGTTCGTCGCTTCAAGATGTCTAGCCGCCACGACAAGGAGAAAGGCGTTAATGTTCAAGTTCTCCTTAGATGCAGGTACCACCGTCGAATCAATTCTCAAATTGTGTTCGATTTTGGGTCTAATCCCCATTTTTTGATTTAGTGTAAAGTTCTATGTTCAAATTGATTTAGGTTTTGGTTTCGCTACTCTGTCGAAATCACACTTCTTTTTTTTTTTTTTTTAATTGATTTTATTTTGCTGACTTCTGTGTGTTTCGTTTCATTTTTTGCAGGCCATTTAGTGATGATGAATTGAGGAACAATGCTCCTCAGGTTCTCACTTGTAATGATTTGCAAAGAGAAGTTGCTGTTTCCCAAAACATCGCTGGGAAGCACATTGATAGGGTTTTCACCTTTGACAAGGTAAAAATTGTTGCGTCTGCTCAAATGTGTATATTTTTCAGTTCACGGGTGATATTCCAAGTAACTTCAAGTCTTTAATTTGAAAAGCTTGTTAACTGACAAGTACTTTATACCAACCACACAGGTTTTTGGACCAGCAGCACAACAGAAGGATTTGTACGATCAGGCCGTTATTCCAATCGTGAATGAAGTGCTTGAAGGTTTTAATTGCACAATATTTGCATATGGCCAGACTGGTACAGGGAAAACATATACAATGGAAGGAGAATGTAGAAGGTCAAAGGTTTGTATTTTGTTGCTTGCGTTTGCTTTCTAAGGTTTGATGGTGACGTTCCATATCTAAGGTATTTTACCTTTATTTTGGGACAGAGCGCACCTAGTGGAGGTCTTCCTGCAGAAGCAGGCGTTATACCTAGAGCTGTAAAACAAATTTTTGATACGCTTGAGGGTCAGCAAGCTGAGTACAGTGTTAAAGTCACGTTTTTAGAACTCTACAATGAAGAAATTACCGATTTGCTTGCTCCTGAAGATCTATCTAAAGTTGCTTCTGAAGATAAACAAAAGAAGCCGTTACCTCTAATGGAAGACGGCAAAGGTGGTGTTCTTGTTAGAGGATTGGAAGAGGAAATTGTCACAAGTGCCAATGAAATCTTTACTTTGCTTGAGAGAGGTTCTTCTAAACGGCGGACTGCAGAAACATTCTTGAATAAACAATCTAGGTAATGCATCTGATGCTTCTCTTCTTTGCTCATTAGTGTCAAGATGTCAGCTACATGATAAAATCCTTCACTTGCAGTCGGTCACATTCTCTCTTTTCAATAACAATACATATTAAAGAAGCTACTCCAGAAGGTGAAGAACTAATCAAGTGTGGCAAGCTGAACTTGGTTGACTTGGCAGGATCAGAAAATATATCACGTTCTGGTGCTAGGGAAGTAAGTAGTTTCTCAATGTTCAATCAAGTTTGGAGTGTCTTTCTTCTCATTTTCTACATTTCATGCCTGGTCATGTCAGATGTAATCAATAGTATTTCTCCATATAGGGCCGGGCTCGAGAAGCTGGTGAAATAAACAAAAGTCTTCTTACATTAGGGCGAGTGATCAGTGCTTTGGTTGAACATCTTGGACATGTTCCTTACAGGTTTAACTTCTATTTTGTTCCGGTGTTCTTTACTTTACGTTAGTGGTCACATAGCAGTGTTTCAAGTTATGCTGAATCATATAATTGGTTACTGCAATGAAATTTAGGGATAGTAAGCTTACCCGTTTGCTACGTGATTCACTTGGTGGGAGAACGAAGACATGTATCATAGCAACAGTTTCACCTGCCGTTCATTGTCTGGAGGAGACTTTAAGTACTCTAGATTATGCACACAGAGCTAAGAATATTAGAAACAAACCAGAGGTATTAATCTTATAATTTTGTTTATTTTTTCATTCATAAATTTCTAGCCTCTATTTCGTTTTTTCTTGTTCCCATTGAAAAGTTGGAATTCATTTGCGTACTCTTGTACATTTCTTTTTTCGCAGGTTAACCAGAAAATGATGAAATCTACTTTGATAAAGGACCTTTATGGTGAAATAGAACGACTTAAGGCGGGTAAGTGGCATTCTCACTATAGTTGTGCTTGATAGAATAACTGTGGAGGGCTGATTGATGGAGTACTTAAACTTAGCTTAACAAATTTACTTGCTACAGATAGGCTTCTGCTCTGACTCTCCTGCTTGTCCTTAACTCATATTTTTTCTTTGCTTCTTTATTTAGAGGTATATGCTTCCCGTGAGAAAAATGGTGTTTATATGCCAAAAGAGAGATACTATCAAGAGGAGAGTGAGAAAAAGGTATTGAGTTTTTGCACACAATTGTTTCTCTGATCATATTTCATTAGCTGAAGAAACATATACCCAAAATGATCATTTGACCTTAGAGGAATCGGTAACCTCTTTACCTCCTTAGTTTTCTACTAATATAATACATTTTGCTCTATTTTGTAGGCAATGTCTGAGCAGATTGAACAGATGGGTGGTCAGATAGAAAATTATCAGAAAGTTCGTCTTGGCTTACTCCTGTCAATAATTTTTTTAACGTTATGTGTCAGAACATGTGAACTCAGTTATTTACATATTTTTGTGATCAGAAACTTGAGGAGTTGCAAGATAAGTATACTGGTCAAGTACGGGAGTGCTCTGATCTGACTAGCAAACTTGATACCACCGAGGTATTTGTTACTTTGTTTGGATGGAATTTTGTGCTATATAACTATATCAATATGCTCTGAGACTTCAATTGTAATATCTAGAAAAACTTGAGCCAAACATGCAAAGTGCTTGCTTCCACAAACGAGGAATTGAAGAAATCTCAATATTCCATGAAAGAGAAAGATTTCATTATTTCAGAGCAGAAAAAAGCTGGTATGTTCTTTAACATTACTCACATCAAATGCTTGAAAAATCTTCTAACATGTCGCATTTTGCCAGAAAATGTACTCGTTCAACAAGCTTGCATTTTGCAATCCAACTTAGAGAAAGCTACTAAAGACAATGCTTCATTACACCAGAAAATTGGTACGTGTATATACTATTTTGGCTGTCTTTTCAATAGCAATTTTATAAGAATTGTATGTGATCTTGATTTGCTGCTTTGCAGGAAGAGAGGACAAGCTCAGTGCAGATAACAGGAAAGTGGTCGACAATTATCAAACAGAACTCTCTGAACAAATTGGAAATTTGTTCAATAGGGTTGCTTCTTGTTTGTCCCAGCAAAATGCACACCTTCAAGGTGTTAACAAACTGTCCCAGTCTCGCTTAGAGGCGCACAACAAGGTATCGAATTGGTTTTATAATAATGAATGAGTTATCTTGTCCAAACTTTTTTTTGTAATAATCTAACAGTCGTCTAACCTTGTAACACTATTTGCAAATATGTTTGTCTAGGCCATTTTAGAAATGAAAAAGAAGGTTAGAGCTTCAAAGGATTTATATAACTCTCATTTGGAGGAAGTGCAGAATGTTGTTCGGTTGCACAAGGCAAACTCGAATGCTTGTCTTGAGGAAGTCTCAGCATTGACGACTTCAGGTGCATGTTCCATTGATGAGGTACACCTTTAACTTATTTCCTTTTCTTTTAGAAACTTTTGGTGTGTTCTTTAAAGTGGTTATCTTGTCGATTTTCAGTTTCTTGCTTCAGGAGATGAGACAACATCATCATTATTTGATGAACTTCAGAGTGCTCTCTCGTCCCATCAGGGAGAAATGGCTCTCTTTGCAAGGGAACTGAGACAGGTCAGTGCACTGATTCGTAGCTAATTTATATATTGCCCTTCACGATTTACGAGATTTGTTTTCTGATTGTTTTTTCTTTTGTTCCTTATATGCAGAGGTTCCACACAACAATGGAGCAAACACAGGAGATGTTTGAATACACAAGTACGTTCTTTCAGAAGCTTATGACAGAGTCTAAAAATGCTGAGAGTCGTGCTGCAGAAGCAAATGATAGTCAAATAAACAGCATTATTGATTTTCAGAAGACTTACGAGGTCTTGATTCGACATCTTTTTAAGTTTCACGCCAAACATCTTTGCTTGATCCCATCTATAACTGCTATATATGTGGTGCAGGCTCAGTCAAAATCTGATACAGAGAAACTTATAGCTGATTTAACTAACCTAGTCTCAAGTCATATTCGCCGCCAACATGAATTGGTTTGTTTCTCATTTTTCATTAGTTTCTTTCTCTCTTCCACTGTATGTTACTTAAAACTGTATTGTTTTGCCTGGCAGGTGGATTCAAGACTCCACAACTTTAAAGATGCCGTCTCTTCCAACAAAACTTTCATGGATGAACACGTCTCTGCTGTTAATAATCTGGCTAACGACGCAAAAAGAAAGTGGGAGACATTCTCCACACAAGCTGAGAATGAAGCCAGAGAAGGTGCTGATTTCTCGGCTGCAAAACATTGTCGAATGGAGTTACTACTGCAGCAATCGTAAATTCCTTACTATTTTTTGCAATTCCTTTTGACTTACAATTTTTCAGTTATGCAATTTAACCTCTGTATCTTCCTATGCGTTAGTGTGGGTCATGCGGAATCAGCTTTCAAACACTACAAGACAACTCATGAATCTCTAAAGGAGATGAACAGTAAGCAAGTTGCAGATGTCTCTTCACTTGTTAGGTAATTGGTTGAAGTTTTAGACATACATATCTGAAATTCTGATCTCTTCATCCCCTGTCGAAATGCATTTCATCTACAGTCATAAATTCTTTTTTTTTTTAATGCTAGCTACATTTAGTTTTGTGGGTGAACCATGTTATGCTACCATACATAAACTTCATTGTAATTGTTTGGTTTAGGTCTGCTTGTAATAATAACGAGCAGCACGATTCGGAAGTAGATTCTGCAAGGACTGCGGCTGAAAAAGATGTAATAAAGCAAAGCGATGAGATTATCCAGCAGATTGACCGTGAGCTTTCTTTCATTCCCATGACTGTTTCTTTTGTCCATTTGAATAAGAGCATCTACTTAGGCCGAATAAAGTTTCTTGGCATGATCATTATTTCTCCCAATCATGAACTGAAGATATTTTTTGTAATCTTTCAGGCATGTCAGACGACGAAAAAGCGTCTGTATCACAAATATTGGAAAACGTCAGGTCGCATGAAAAAACTCTTGAAAGTTTCCAACAGGATCAGTGTTGCCAAGCCAGATTCATTGAGGATAAAGCTCAAGAAACTTTCCAACAAAAATACATGGTAAGTTGTTCCTCACAGCATAAGAATGACATACTTTTTTCTCTTATACAGGAATATTAACCCCAATCTTTCTTTTGGTGAACCACAGGAATATGAGCCAACAGGGACTACTCCAATGAAGAGTGAACCAGAGGTCCCAACCAAAGCCACCATTGAATCACTACGAGCCATGCCAATTGAGACATTGGTTGAAGAGTTCCGTGAAAACAACTCTTTTGAATCCTTTGCGACCAAGGAATCAAAACCACAACAGCTAACACGGTCGCCTCTCTCACAGGTCAACTAGGGAACCACCTCTGTTCCATAACATGCTCTTTTGTTTTCGAAAACCTCAAACCAGTGTCCGTGTCTGTGTCTGTATTACTATTATCTATGTACACATTTGTGACAGTGTGAGATCAATCAATGAAGAGTCAGATGCTTCTGACGTATTTTCTAGGTTCGAAAAGTTGAAAATAACCCCTTACTTGGGATTACACTTATTTCACTTACATTGAAATAGTCACCATTGTAATGTAAGATTTTCTGGTTTCAGAGAGGGTTTGTTCTAAAATATCATGTAATGCGAATCTTTTTTGCTTTGCTCATGCTGTGTGTGCTGTGCATGCATGTACCACTTGATCACTTTCTATATATGACTCAACCATGAAGATGCTTTCAAAACCCAACAATGACCAATTTAAGTGGGATGTTCAAGTAGCATTTGTGAAATCGTAGTCACAGTGCCACTCAGAAGATTCATCTTTCTCACTTCCCATGAGGATATCTAAAACCCTTGAGCATGAGCAATTCTCATGGAATCCTCTTTTACCATTTTAAAGAACAATGATGATCATCTTTTTGTTCGTGCTCATTTTTCCAAAGCTTTACAACTCAGCAACTGTTCACTTGGGATGTTAAATACAATCTCACTCGTCTGTATACATTTTATGATACTGGTAATGTCAGATGTGGTTTCTCTTTTGGGATTTAGGTCACTCATTCTAGAAAGTGATGAGAACATCAATATAGTGGAATTTTTCTTTGACGACTTTATTCTCATTCTTTGTTTTTTTGAACCAAATTTATGTATGGAAACAATTAGTTAAGTATGGTGATAAGTCTCTGCAGGTTCATATACACAAAAAAAGATGCAAGCAAAGTGTTGTAGCTAGTTGTAAGTGATGTTTCACAATTATAGCAATGGAATTATCAAAAAAAAGTTTGTGGAAGCGCACATTACTAGTTTTTCTTTTGCAAACCGGAATTGTTAGAGCAAAAAGCAATATACACAGTATTTGGACTTTGAAGCATACCGGAAAATTAGGTTTACATGTACGTGGAACTAAGTGCATAGATGAAAATATCAAATTTAAACTCTTTGCTTCACTTTTTGGCGTTATGATGTGATTAAAAACATTGCTCAGATAGAACCGGACATATTAACATGAAGATCCGTTATGTCTCGCGCATTGTCTCTGTCTGTTCTCCCGGTTGAATCATTTCTTGATTAAATCGATGATTATATATATATATATATATATATATATATATATATATATATATATATTGGAAACATGAGAACCGTTCTATATACTTATTTATTTACTATGATGATTTAATTACGCAAGATAAAATAGTGAACAGTTGAAAACTGAACTATGATTAGACCTTATCTATAATTAAATATTTTCTTGTAACCGACAATATTTTATGATTTTATATAACTTTTGAAAAGGATATGAAGCATTAGTTTTGTTGAGATAGATTATAGTAAATTTGAGTAATATAAAACCACCATATCAAAATCGAACTAAAATGAGGCATTAGACCTTGAATGGGTAGTAGACTATACCTTTTGGTGCACTATATAACCAGTTTAGAGCATCCTCAATGCATAATCCTTAAAAGTGGATCTTATGCCTTTACTTCCAGTTTTTGAACTTATATAAGGTACGTACCTTATAAATTTTGTTGAATTATGTATTAAATTTTAATCAAAATTAGCTTAAGGACCAGCTTAAGGATCATGATTGAGGATGGTCTTAGTTACACGGTGGATAATTATCTCCAAGTTGTGAGGTCAATAACTATATCCATATTTCATTCGAAAAGATAATTACCATGCAGAAACGATAATTACATAATTTGTTTGTAGAAAAAAAAAAATAAAGAAGGATAATATTTTGTCCAGTAGAAATGTTGATATCATTTGGGCAATTTTTTTGTAACAGAAATAATTAATAACAAAAATTATCTGAAATATACATATAACCACGTTACATTTTTTAAAAGATACTATAAAAACATTTCACTAAAAATTATTCAATCCTAGTAAATAAGATTTTGTTAGAATTGTTTTGCTTCAAATATATATACAAGCTATAACTTGAGCAACAAATCATCAAAGAAGTTATAAAAACCTAATGGATTAATACATATTTCAATTAAACACTTTAATTAAAACATCAGTAAATTATGGACGATTTTTTTTTTCTTTCTAAAACCTTATTTAATTTTTTTTTTTACAATTACATAGAGTCCTAGATATAAGGAACTAAACTGCCGACCAAAAAAAAAAATTCAGGATCAACTAAAAAATAATAATCAAACTATCAAAAAGCAACCAGATTTAATTTCTCTAATAATAGTACGTAAGAGTAAAACTCTCTAGATCAGATTAACATTATCTGAAAAATTATCTACTTTTCGATTATCTTGTTCCTCCTATTTCTCCTCTATATAAACATTATACAACAAACTACATTTGCACTCATCACATTCTCTCCTTCTTCACGTTAATACTGAACGCCCAAAAAACCAAAAGAACATAACAAACACCACTCATCAGATCTTGAGTCTTTTACAGATCAATGAGTGTTTCAAATATGGTTTATGTGTTGTTATTGCTTGTATTAATCAATTTAAGCAATAATAACATCAAAAGAATAGACGCATTTCATCAGATTTATGAAAAATTGCAATCTGAATCAGTCGAGTCAGTGAATCATCTCCATAGACCTGGTTTTCACTTTCAGCCTCCGAAGCATTGGATTAACGGTACATCTAATACTCTCCTTGTCTCTTAGAAATATTTTGCTTCTTGTTTAAATGATTTTGGTTTTGATCGATATTTAGTTTTTTTTCTCATTATCTGTTAATCTTATAATTCTGAAATGAGAGTTGATCTCCTCTTCAAATCCATTTTCAGTGAAAGAAACATTATATAAACCATTTTTCAAAGAACAAATAATTACAACGTAACTTCTTCCCCGATCTAGACGCAGAAGAGAAAAGAAAAAAAATTAACTTATCCGTTCCTTAATACCATTTTATACGTTCTATAGGTTTCTTGACAACTTACCCTTAGTAAAGTTTTTAGGTTAGATTATACGTTTTAGGTTGTAGTCAATATTTATGCTGATATGAGAGATCGACCGTGATCGAGTAATAAATAGAAAGGATACGGTACTTCGTATTTTGCTACACACCTTATAACCTTTCTATTCACGGTTTCTTAATTTCATCGTCAACTACCAAAATACTTTCATGTGATACATTCTTTTTCGTATCCTCTCGAATGCTCTTTTCTTATCCTATTTTCATCGAAATCATATTAAACTAATTAACCTCGTTTTTCATTTGTTTCCATGTGGCATTCTTCTCGACAATCCTCGTAGATCCAAATGGTGAGTTTATCATAATTATGTTTTTACGTACTCTATTACATAGTAGTACTTATACATAGTTATATATCGTGAGATTAGTCTAATTTGTGGTTTTTGGAAACAGGTCCAGTATACTACAAAGGTTTGTACCATCTCTTTTACCAATACAACACCAAAGGTGCGGTTTGGGGTAATATTATATGGGCTCATTCGGTTTCCAAAGACTTGGTTAATTGGGTGGCTCTTGAACCGGCCATCCATCCCTCAAAATGGTTCGACATAGGAGGTACATGGTCCGGTTCAATCACAATTGTACCAGGAAAAGGACCGATTATTCTCTATACCGGTGTTAACCAGAACGGAACTCAGCTGCAAAACTACGCTATCCCGAATGACCCTTCAGACCCATACCTAAGGAAATGGATTAAACCGGACGATAACCCGATCGTAATGCCAGACTATACCATGAACGGTTCAGCATTCCGCGACCCGACCACGGCTTGGTTCTCCAAAGACGGGTATTGGAGAACCGTCGTGGGGTCAAGAAGAAAGCATAGAGGAATAGCTTATATCTACCGAAGCCGAGATTTCAAGCATTGGGTCAAAGCTAAGCACCCGGTTCACTCCAAACAGTCAACCGGTATGTGGGAATGTCCTGATTTCTTCCCGGTTTCCGTAACCGATTTCGAAAACGGTTTGGACTTGGATTACACCGGTGTAAACACCAAGCATGTGTTGAAGGTTAGCTTGGACATAACCCGGTACGAGTATTACACGCTTGGTAAATACGATTCTAAGAAGGATCGATACATACCGGATGGTAATACTCCCGATGGTTGGGACGGTTTAAGATTCGATTACGGTAATTTCTACGCATCTAAGACATTCTTTGACTACAAAAAGAACAGAAGAGTCTTATGGGGTTGGGCTAATGAATCAGACACCGTTGAAGATGATATTATGAAGGGTTGGGCTGGTATTCAGGTATATCTTATAATTAATTACGTAATTAAACTCATAATTTTATGTTTTACGATCAAATTTTCATGATAATAACTTAATATAACGAAATGATATATAGTTAATTCCAAGAACGGTGCTTCTTGACTCAAACAAGAAGCAATTAGTGTTTTGGCCTGTTGAAGAGATAGAATCATTGAGAGGCAATTACATTCGAATGAACAACCGTAACCTCAAGATGGGTCAACGCATAGAAGTTAAAGGAATCACTCCTGCTCAGGCTGATGTGGAAGTGACGTTCTACGTCGGAAGTCTAGAGAAAGCTGAGATATTCGACCCTAGCTTCACGCTCAAACCTTTTGAGTTGTGTAAGATTAAAGGTTCAAACGTGACAGGTGGTGTAGGACCTTTTGGTCTGATCACATTAGCAACTCCTGATTTGGAAGAGTACACTCCTGTCTACTTTAGGGTCTTCAAAGACACTTCAACTCATAAACCTAAAGTTCTCATGTGCTCCGATGCTAGACCGTACGTTTCCATGCATGATCTCTCTATTTGCTTAATAATATGCCAGGCTTTTCATTTGACTAATAATGAGAATTAACATTAAATTTCCTATAGTTCGTCGTTGAAGCAAGACAAGGGTCCACTCCCAAAGGATAGGATGTATAAACCATCGTTTGCTGGTTTTGTGGATGTTGATATGGCTGATGGAAGGATCTCTCTAAGGAGTTTGGTACGTAAAAAAGACGAAAGTTAAGTTGATATTTTTTGATTGTTTATCTATCTTATGTAACGTCACATAAATTGGAATTTCAATGTTACAGATTGATCATTCGGTAGTAGAGAGCTTTGGAGCTCTAGGGAAGACGGTGATAACGTCAAGAGTGTATCCAGTGAAAGCCGTACAAGAGAATGCACATTTGTATGTGTTTAACAATGGAACTCAGACTGTGACCATAGAGAGTCTCAATGCTTGGAACATGCAACGTCCTCTCCAGATGAATAATGGAGATCTTTAATTTACCTACTCTCTATAATTTAGCTAGATACTGTGAGATTTAGGAAGAAAAAACAAAACATTGGGATTTTATGTTTTATATGATCCTTTGGTTTGCGCATGTTCATACTTTTACGTATGGACACTTGTACCTTTTATGTCTCAAATAATAACTCAATAAAAATTAATTTCAGAAAGCGAAAAATCAAGAACAGTCGTTAGTTATCATTGATCAGATTTTACTGATAATCTTTCTAACATCGACTGAAACACGCATGTTTGTGTCAAAACACAAGAGATGTGTGTCTTTTAAACTCAAAATATAACCTAAGTGAGCTTCACGTGAAAAAGAGATCTTCTTCTTTAGTCTACTTACTTGTACGTGACTGAAACGAAACCTGGTTTAATCCCCTTGGGCAGATGAGCATAATACATAACATCAAGATAAGTCTGAAACTTAACAAAGGAGAAAAATAAGGAAATTTTGCAGTTTTTTTTTTTTTCGCTTTCCAAATTTTTTTAGAAAATAGAAGTATTACAAAAAAAAAAGTTAAATAAAAAGGAAATTACATGCCAAATCCAAATCATTATAGGAATCTCAACCATGTCAATTATCTCTATAAATACAGATATTGGGGTTTCAATATCTCACACACACACACACACACACAAGTTTACACCTATAGCCATATTACTTACTATTGCTAAAAAAACATGTCTGTGGCACAGATTTTCGAGAGAGTGGACAAAAACAAAGACGGAAAAATTTCATGGGACGAATTCGCAGAAGCTATTCGCGTTTTCTCTCCTAAAATAACATCCGAAGAAATCGATAAGATGTTCAGGGAGCTAGACATTGACGGTGATAACGAAATCGACGCGGTGGAGTTCGCTTCATGCTTGATGCTTAACAATGGAGAAAAGGAAGACGAAGAAGTTGTTATGAAAGAAGCATTCGATTTGTATGATATTGATCGTGATGGAAAGATATCAGCAAGCGAGATTCATGTGGTATTGAAGCGTCTTGGAGAAAAGCATACAATGGATGAATGTGTTATGATGGTTCGAGCGGTTGATAAAGACGGTGATGGTTTTGTGGATTTTGAAGAGTTTAAGACTATGATGACTTCTACCAAGAAGTCACTATGATCTTTTTATTCAATATTTTCTTAATGTTCTTTTTGGTTTTGTTTTGTTTGAGTTTTTTACAAATAAATTTGATATGATAATCAAAGTTTTCCCAATTATCAATGAATTATTTTGTTTGAATTTCTATATCCCTTCTAACTAGAATAAGATTCTTTTAATAAAACAGTTATTGGACGATAGGAAGAAAATTTTGGGAATTTCTAGGTTTATGATCCCTTTGGTTGTGCATTATGCATTGGACTCTCTTGTTCAGTTGCACCTTCTGTCTTTTAACCACTAAACAACTTTTGATGTTTGTTAAACTATTTAAAATCCATAAATGCTCTTTAGGAGAATTATACTTGAGACAGCAGATTGAAGAAACATAGCAGAGACTTTGGCAAGAAAATCAGTTTTACTAATAATAATCTTGGAATCAAAATTAACTGAAACAAGATTGGTCTCAGAACAATAGAGATGCGTCTTCTCCCAAGGGAAACACAAAAATATAACATAAAAAAGGTGAAAACAGATCACTTGATCTTCTTCTTTGGCCTCAACTGGTTACTGTGGCCACACTTCTTCTTCCTGCAGTTGACAGCCCTTGGGTGCAGACGAGCATAACATCTACACCAAGAAGTCAACTCATATTCATGAGACACAACACTTGAGTTACATCAAAACACTGATCACAGAGTAATAGTTGATATGAGGATTAAGGATAGCTCAACAAAACGATCAATACATTATTCACCCGATTCAGCTAAGTTATTCATGTCACAGAGAATATGACATGACATAGTCTAACCGATTCAGCTAAGTTAATTCCATAAGGTTACTCATTATACAGAACTATAATCATCAGACTTAAAAAGAGGGATTAAAAAGGCTTACTTGCGACAGATCATCTTGTCTTGGTTATACTTACGAGCCAAAGCCATCAAAGAAGGCTCAATGATACCTCCCCTAAGCCTCAGAACGAGATGCAGAGTAGACTCTGTTCACAAACCAAAACGATAATTTAAAATCAACAAACACTTGCAGCTAAACTAATTACATTTCCCAGAAGTAAAAATAAACTAAAACGACAACACAAGAGTAAGAATTCAGAAACAAACCTTTCTGGATGTTGTAGTCAGCCAAAGTACGACCATCCTCGAGCTGTTTCCCGGCGAAGATCAACCTCTGCTGGTCCGGAGGGATACCTGAAACAAAGCTACTCGATAAGAGATTATAATTTCAAATTACAAAAAAAAAAAGCTAGAGCCAGTGACGTTACTATACCTTCTTTGTCCTGGATCTTGGCTTTGACATTGTCGATGGTGTCACTGCTCTCGACCTCGAGGGTGATGGTTTTCCCAGTTAGTGTTTTCACGAAGATCTGCATCTTTGCACGTTTGTCTCCTTCGCCTCGCCGGAAGTTTCAAAACGGCGCAACAAGTGTTAAAGAATGATACTTTATACTTTCTCCATTTCTAGGGTTTTGTGTTTAATTTGTTTGTTAAACTGATGGGCCTTTATTCCAAAGCCCATTATATTATTATATGTACATCTCGACGTTCCTTATCGTATCGTATATGATGAACCAAGACCAAGTTCTCACTTATGCTTTAATCGTTTACAGTTTACACCACATTTGATTGAACTGCAATTCTCGTGTCCTTGAGTTTCGTTCCATCAATCTTGGTGCTTTACTTCAGTCCTGTGTTCTGTGAACTGGCCATGGGGTTTTTATTAGGTGTGATTTAGGGAATGAGGACAAAACACACCCTTTTTAAAAAGTTTCCTACCGAATCTCGTAGTCATGTAATAATATTATTAAGTGGAGCAAATCGATGTTCCAAACCTTTGTTTCGCAAATGAATTGCCATTCAATCTAAAGGCACATCTAACATGCAATTTTACTTCCAGTTTCCCCTCATAAAGTCAGAGAGTGCAATTTCACGATTTTTTTTCTGGATACAGTTGTACAAAACGCTCACCAATTCTATTAGTTAAGCTAATATCTTCATAATTATCATCGAGGCGAAAAGACAACAAAAGCAAAAAATTTGTTTGAATCAGAAACATGGAACCTAAAAGACTAATATCTGGTGAGGTAATGACTATTCATCGAATCAGAAGCCAAAAACTAATGTTTCGCAATGCAATAGACTCATCATATTAGAAAGAAATGTTGATCAAATTAACAAAATCATTCAACTCCAAAACACTTCCACAATCTAACAAACTCCAAACAAATAGTTCTGACAAAATGAAAACAAATGGAGCTAAATAAAAGACATCCCATAAGCCCCAAACACTTAGAGCCTTCTTCCTCTTCTACCACCCTTTCGGCGGGTGCTGTCTGTTGGGATGGGAGTAACATCCTCTGCAACAGCAAGCAAAATGTTAGAAATGATCAAGAAACATTACAGTTGTCAATAGTTGGAGGTTACGAAGCATACCAATACGGCCTATTTTCATGCCAGAACGAGCAAGGGCTCGAAGAGCGGACTGGGCTCCCGGACCAGGTGTCTTGGTCTTGTTACCACCTGTGGCACGGAGCTTCACATGTATGGCGGTGATTCCAAGTTCCTGTGTTTTGGATAGTAGTTAACAAAACAGTTAAATTAATGAACAATGTGGGAATTTTAGTTTACAAATGAATATCTAAAGATCATATATAAGGTTAAGTACCTTGCATCGCTGAGCAACATCTTGAGCAGCAAGCATAGCTGCATAAGGTGAGGACTCATCTCTGTCAGCTTTCACCTTCATTCCACCTAACCAAAAACAAAAGAGAATAGTTACTCATTTGAATTCAAGAATACAGCCACCTCCATAAAGAAATCAAGTGACTACTCAAAAGGTTGGAAAACAAGAGAAGTCGAGAGGCTAAATAACATCATCTAAGTTCTTAATTCATCATAGGTAGGACCTATTAAGAATCACTGATGCTTACCAGTGATACGGACAAGAGTTTCACGTCCAGACAAATCAGTAACATGCTGCAAATTGAAGATACATCATATGTCAGCTTCGCATAACATAAATGATAAATGGAATACTCAAATCTTATCAGAATAAACTCACAATGAAAGTGTCGTTGAATGAAGCAAAAATGTGGACAACTCCAAAAACTTGCTCTCCGTCACGAACACTAGGTCCAAGAGTCACAGTCTCAACCTTAGGCTCCTTGGTCTTTCTCTTTGACGACTATACAAAACATACATAACAGACAATTACATTACCTTGCTACAATTACATTATCTATTATATCAATTCAAATTGAACTAATTGGTAATCAAAACATATTGGCAATTTTGAGATCACAGGCCTAAGCAATAAACAACATCATTTGCTTACTAATCTAATCAATGAACAGAGTCAGGATCAAAAGCAAAGAAAGGATAAATATTTTCTAAACTGCAAATGACACGAAAATCAAGCATTGGAAAATCGTAAATCGACATTTGTGTAATCTCAAATCAAACTGGGTAACTCTGAGAAAAGAGGAAAGCGTTACAAGGACGAAGCTTACCATGGTTAACAAGAATAGATCGAGTTTGAGGAAAAAAGAGGCTCCTGGTCCTGTAGTTCCGCCTACACACAGAGTTTGGCTAGAGAGAAACGAAGATCGTATCAGAAATCGAATTTATATTAGGGTTTATGTCTCCAGAAGGATATCGCGAGCCCTGCGTTTAGGGTTTCAAAATATATATTGGGCCGAATCTTCCTTGTTGGATTAAGCCCATGTTGATTTATACGACGCCGTCCTTTCATATATTACTTGGCAAAATAAATTTAAAAAGATTATGACAACTGTGGGATTTGAACCCACGCCCTTTCGGACCAGAGCCTAAATCTGGCGCCTTAGACCACTCGGCCAAATTGTCAGTTGTTGTTAGTCTTGTAACATAATTGTATAAACCCTTTATTTACTATTGTTTTCACTTTGTATATCAAACTGTAAAATACTATTTGTATACCAACCAGAGTGATGTTTTTGATAGGCAGTAAAACGAAAAAAAGAAGCTAGAAAGACATAAAGAAAACAGAAATCTCAATTTCATTGTGAGATAGTCAGATTTTAGGCGACTCGAGCAATCTCAACAGCTCTTTTCAAGGCTCCTAAGAGGCTTCTCATGATTCTCTCTTCTCCCGGAGGTGCCTTGTCTTTCTTCCGGCCATGACGCGTCGCTTGGAACACCAAACCATCCGCTGTGGTTTGGTAGACCAAACAGTCTATGTAAACCGGAACATCGGTCTTGCCTTCATCCTCCATCACGATGAATCCTAACCTTGCTCCTCCACTTATTCTATCCACCTAATATGATCCAGAGCCAGATTCATCACATTTTGTTTATAGATTTAGATCAATCGCAAATAAATATAGGAAACAATTTAATTACCTTGAGAGGAACAGGAAGAGGCAGATTGGCTCCTTGGCAAAGACTATTCGCCCACTGTTGTAAATTACACAAAAGAAGAATATTAAAAAAAGTGATCCGCTAGAAGGAGGGGTCGAACCTCCGACCTTGTGGTTAACAGCCACACGCTCTAACCAACTGAGCTATTCCAGCTTTTGCATGTCTTTGAAATTACCTGAAAAAGAAGAGTTTCGAATCTCGCGATATCTGTGTTCCCCGGAAGCTTCATTGTCCCCAGAGATACTCCGTCTCCTTCCCCCGCCCTGACGCCTCCGTTTCCCGGCGAAGCATTTGCTACAACTGACCTCTTGATTTGCCGGCGTCCCGCTGCCCCGTTCGTCGGAACTCCGTGAAGCAGGGACGGAATTGAGGGACGGCGATGGATTCTAGCCGGAGATCGGACTGTTACCGGTGGCGGAACGAAGAGAGTCGCTGCTGCGAAAGCCATTTTCGTATGTTGTCCCGTCTTCACATAGTGAAAGATAGCTTTTTAGAGGATGTGAGCTGAAAGAAACATTATAAAACTTGGTGACGTGCTCTTTTCTTGGCCGTTGATTGTCCAAAGAGACATTGTAAAATCGATACTAATATGCGGAGATATTTAGGATTTATTATAAGATTTGATGGGAACGGAACGAGAGGCAAGAATTAGAAGATGAAATAAACGGATTCAAATCCATCTTTTATAATCAAAGTAGAGTCAAAACTTTGACCAAAACCAGTCTACAATAGTATCAAGGATCAGTAGAGTGTTACAGTTCTTCATGTCATAAACGTTTCACTGATGCTTCTGCGCTCCTCACCAAAGACTCGTCTTCCCTAATCGACCACTTTGGTTCTTAGAATCTTCACTTCATGGATTGGCCTGAAATTTGAGAATAGAAAAGAGATTTTCTTGGATTACTCGATTTTTTTTCAATGTGTCAAATCTTGATGTTTCTGAATGAGTAAGTAAATTTTACCTGTCAGTGTTATCGGTTTGGACACTACCGAGCCTCTTGATCACCTCCATACCTCGGCACACTCTGCCAAAGATTGTGTGCTTTCCTGGAACGTGCATTGAAATGTTTCAAGACAATAGAACAATAGTAAGTAACTGTCTCTTAGTAAACGTGGAAAAATATCTCAATTCTTAAAACATCAAAGCAAGTTTCAGAGGTGAATGTGTTTACCATCCAAGGACGGTGCTGGTGCTAAAGTGATGAAGAACTGACTCCCATTTGTATTGGGACCAGCATTTGCCATTGATAAGATTCCAGCTCCAGTGTGCTTCAAGTCTGGCTTTATCTCGTCCTCAAACTTAGAACTGGGGAAACGGAACAAAGCAAAAAAAAACCATAAGAACAATAGACGACATGAAAATAGCCTACAAAGTAGAAAACTTTTGTGTTTCAAGCTTCTTGAACACATCAGTGGACCAAAAGCAAGAGTGAAACAGACTATAAATCGAGTAACTAGAGCTCCCAGTTTACAATTTGACACTGTCAGTATCAACCAACTGGGTGCTTTCAGAACCTTGTGGGAGTCGACTATAAACCATGTTAAGAAGTTATGAGTATTGTATTGCGCAATTTCAAAAACGCAATCAGTCTTGAGTGAAGATCAAACTAAAAGGAAACTAAATGTCACTTGCTTAATGTAATGCTACTTTACTATAACTTTCTTCAAGATTTGATTTAATCTCCCAAACCAAAATTACAGAGATTAGCCATATCTATATCCAATTTCGTTTACTAACACAACCAGCAAAGCTAAAGATTGAAACACGCACCCATAAATGGATTGACCACCTCTTCCAGTTCCTGTAGGATCTCCACCTTGCACAATGAAATCCTGAAACAAATCAATAGCAAAATCCCTTAGAACTTCATCACAGTGATGATCTCAGTACGCACTATATTAGATAAGAAAACAGAAATCAAACCTTGATGATTCTGTGAAACAGAACGTTATCATAGTAACCTCTCCGGGATAGCTCAACGAAGTTCCGGCAAGTTCTCGGGGAGTGTTTGTAATACATCTGAGGAAATTGACAATTAAATCAAAAACATTGTAAACCCTAAAACCCCTAAAACCTTCACGAGTAGAAGCTCGATTCGAGTAGAATGCAATCAGAATGAAGAAAATATATAAGAAATCTAGATCTCAAGTTCATGTGAGCTCTGTATATGAATGTAATCGCCGGAAGTTGTTTTTTCCGCTAATTCGATAGCTAAAAAGGAGAAAAATAAGAAGAAAGAGAGGTACCTCGACGGTGAAGGGACCCATGGAGGTCTCCAGCGTAACCTCCGGCGGACTTCCTTCAGGTCTCGCCGACATTATTCAGAGATGGCGGAAGGTCTAGAGAGAGAGAAGTGTCTCGTCGGAGATCGAAGCAGACAAAGGTACGCGTCGCTTACTCGAAACTCAAAAAGTATATTTTTTCGGGTCGGATCTGATTCTGTCTTAATTGGGTCGGTCAACCCGAATTTTATAACATGTTTTGGGCCTAGAGCAGTCCATTGTGTTGTGCAGTAAATCTTTTTCCATCATTGTGTATTCTATCAATGATTGACTATCCCAATTTGTAGTATGCAAGTACGATCACAAATTCACAATCTCCATGAAGAAGAAGTGCTCATGCATTCTTCTAGTCAAGTTTATTTTCCATGATTTGAAGAAGATTTAACACTCAAAGAGTTACGTCGGCATGTTAATATTCACCCAACTCGATGCCACTTAAATTTTCCTGCAACTGCAACAGAAAACAAATTGTATTGGATACAATTATACAAGCTTCACACTGATGTTCCCATGTTGACGTAGTTGGACTTAGGAACATGCAGATGAATCATAATTTAGTTCATGACTTCTAGTTCTGATTTATCTCATCGCTTACGACGCTTACTAAAAGATTCAAATAAAAATTTAGATATCTGTTTTTTTTTTTTAATTATTATGTTTGCTTATCATTGATATGTAAACATAAGTTAGATCACTTTTGGGTTTGACTCCTCCATTACAAAATTTGTATTTTCTGTAGGAATCTTTAATGTTAAAACTCTGACTTCTACATACGGCTATGTAACAATCCAGATATATGTAATGACCGGGTAACTCAGATGTACATATATTGTTGAACTTATGAGTTGACAACAACTACTATATATGATTCTCCTTTTATAAAACTTGACACACACGATACGAAGTAGCTTACAACATGGATACAATTTTATAACTTCAGCAATAGCCGCCTTTTTACGGCTTATTTATACAAAATATTAGTCTATTTATTGCCCCATATATATATTGAAACTTTGTAGTCTCTTACGAGAAATGTCGACACTTCACTCAATTACACGATCCATGTAAGATATTAATCTTCATGGTGCATAGCCACCGCTGCCTTCTCCTCCACCAGCACCCCCACCGTGACCATATCCAGAAGCTGCAGCATAACCTCCACCGCCTCCTCCTCCACCTCCTGCACCACCACCGCCTCCTCCTCCGCCACCATGTCCACCTGCTCCTGCACCACCACCATATCCCTCTCCAGCTCCACCCCCTGCTCCATAACCACCACCGTGAGCTCCTCCTTCGCCAGAACCCCCTCCTCCTCCGCCACCATTTCCACCGCCTCCACCATGTCCACCGGCACCCGCACCTCCCCCTCCATACCCTCCTCCAGCACCACCTCCTTGTCCACCACCATACCCTCCACCATGTGCACCACCCCCTCCTCCCCCACCCCCGGCTCCGCTTCCTCCTCCTCCACCATGCCCACCAGCTTCTCCGCCTCCGTATCCAGCTCCACCACCTTCACCGCTTCCACCTCCGTAGCCTCCTCCAGGACCACCACCTCCTCCTCCCCCAGCACCGTGTCCACCGCCTCCTCCTCCACCAATATGTCCACCGCCATACCCACCAGCTCCTCCACCTTCACCACCCCCACCTCCGTAACCAGATCCTCCTCCAGGACCACCCCCGCCACCTCCCCCAGCACCACCACCATGTCCACCGCCTCCACCTCCGCCAATACCTTCAGCTCCTCCGTAGCCAGCACCACCACCTTCTCCACCGCCACCACCAATACCAACACCAAGACCAGCACTTAAACCACTTTTCACACCATAGGCAGCGACTTCAGCCTCGGATTCAGAGAATGAGAGAAGTGATCGTCTAGCAGAACATAACCCTAAACCTATTAAGAAACATAGAAAGAAGAGACTTTTGTGATTACCCATATTTTCACTGATCTTTGCTCGTAATATTTAGTTGTGAGATGAGTTTGCTTGAGAATGTGTCCGTATTTATAGGCATTTTCATGAGACCCAACCGCGTTTGTTGCACATACGATGGATCTCATAATATTTCACTCGTTGAGCCCCACACCTAACCCTATCAATTTCATTTCATTATCTTATGTGCTTTTTATCTAGCTAGGAATGTCATGATTATGTGTAATTCTTTTATATACAACTACAAACGCTATTATAGGTTATATACTTATATATAGGTTTTAAACACTTAATTAGGTATATAATTATTTCACAATGCATATGGTGGAAAAACTATGGGAGTATGGGTTATATAGTTTTGCAGTGGTTACATAACTTACATTACTGATATAATAAGCGTTAAACATTTACGTACTTTAGATGTCTTCATATATATTTTTTTTGGTCGAAAGATGTCTTCATATATGAAATGGTATGTTTCACTACAAAATACAAAACTAGTCATCTGATCATGTGTATATATTATGATAGTACATTACTTTTTATATCAGATTCTAATATAGTGTTGTTACACATTGGCGACACTAAACATAAAGTATTAGACTAGATATGTGTGGGAGTGGGATCCACGAGCTGGAGACGGGATGAACTTTAGTGGGTTCCTGATCCCCTGTCCGAACTTGCGATAAGACTTGCCAAACGAGAGAAAATTGCTTTCAGTTTTATTCAGTATCTTTAGTCAAAAATCCGATCCCTTACACTTAGTTCTTTCCCCCTACTTATACTATTCTAACATACAATTAATGATCAGCGGGCTCCGCTCCGTAAATCACGCTTTCCTCATCAAGGCTCCGCTTGACCCGCTGATAGCCCGTTTCGATTCTCTTTTCGAACTCTCGATTTCTTGACAGCATACACCTATTGGGCCGGGATCAGCTCCTATAGTGGGCTTTGGCTAACAGCCCGGCAGCGAATCAGGCCGTTAGCCCGGAATGCCAATTCCGGTACCCACAGTAAGCCCCCCAAGTCTTTCGAAGTGATTCCGTTCGGGAGACTTTAATGCAGGATAATTAAAGAAACTCCGATTCCCGAGTTCGATATGATTGATTTGTATTTACTCGAGGTTGCCTTTTCGGATTACCGTGCCCCGGTTTTGCCGCTTCGGAATCCCTAGGCCGCCGGCTATAAAGGATGCGACCTTCTAGCTTCCCTAGGTAATCATTTGGTCGCAGCCGCCGAGTCTTTATAAAGGTAAAAATTTCTCTCCTTCGCTTTGTTTTACCTTTCGTCTTTCACTCTACTTTTCTCTGTCTATTCTTGGACGATCTCTCTCGCCGTATTTGCTCCTCTCCGCCTCGCCTTTGTTCAATTCTCAGTTTAGTCATGTCGCCGCCAAAGCAGACTTTGACGACCGGAGACGCTTCCCTTTCCGGCCAATTCGGCCCGCATCCCAGGTCGACGATCAAAGAAGAAGACCTGGTGCATATCAAGTTCCTCTGCGGCCTTCCGTCGGAGGCGGAACTTATCGCTCCGGGGCCTGATCTATCACCGGAAGACCCACCCCCTGGGTACTGCTGCGCCTACGAGATATTTTTCTCGAGGTGCGGCCTCTATTTTCCGTTGCCGGAACTGCTGGTGAAGGCGATGTTCGCACTCGGCATCACCCTTCCTCAGCTATGCCCTAATTTCGTCTGAACTATCCTCTGCCTCCAGACCCTAGCCGAGGAGCACGGCTACCTTATAACCTTCCAGGACATCCTCCACCCTTATACAATAAAGAGTGGCCGAATTAGGCACCTTTTACCTCAGTCCGCTAGCGGGGTTCCGGGTCTTCGATGACTTCCCGGAAAAGGACGAAGAATACCGAAGTGACTACTTCTTCTTCCCAGTAAACCGAGACACTTTCGGCGATCTACAAGAGTTGCTTGTTCCGCACTGGTCTCAGAAACCTGGTAGAACTGCGAGGAGATTAGCGAACTTTTTGTGATAATCTTAACAGCTCGGGATGCTAACTCGTTTTATGCTTTGTTTTTTTTTAGCTTCCCTCGACCGCGGGCTGCTGTCTCAAACCTTCGCGGACTATTTTACTACGTTCTGCGGTGCCGAGACCGCTTGGGACTCCTTCACCTGCCCCCGAGTCCGCGAGGCCGGTGCCCACATTCGCACCCGATTTCTCACTGTCTCTTCCCCGCAGTCCGCTCCCCCCAATATGAACTACCGCGAAGAGAGAGCTCATAAGAAAAAGATGGAGCTGAAAGAGAAGGAGCTGAAGAAGAAAATGGTTGCCGCGCTGGCGGATGCCAAGATGAAAAACTCTTCGAAGGAGAAGTCCTCTAGCTCGGTTGCTCCCCCAGAGGGCGGAGATCGGGAAGTGATTACACTTCCCGATAGCGACGTGAGCACCGAATCTCCCGCTGCTCGTCCAACTCCGGGAGATGGCCAGGCCAGTGAGCCGAAGAAACGGAAGGCTGCCGAACTTGCGCGCCCAGTACGTGCGAGCTCAAGGCTCCGTACCGAGGAGACCCCTGCCTCAAAAGGCTCTTTGCCTGCGACCCCGAGTCCTGTTGACCCGAAAGCGACCCCGAGGCGCGAACTTCCGGGTAAATTACCTGTTTAAGAGGCTCTTTGCCTTCTTTTTATCCAAACCACTTCGGTCTAACATTAATGCCCTATTTGCAGCTCCGCCGAAATCCCTAGCCGACATGATGCGGAGCTTCAGCCAACCTGGAGCTCGAGTTCCCGCCTTTAAGGACATGTCCACGACCAAACGGGAGGATTACTTCCGTTTTGTTGAGAAAGTTGGCGAGGTAAGCCTACTCTTTTGTTTCGCTAGTGCCAGCACCTGTACCTTTATAAACGTTTTCTATCCTTGGCAGATGTTGTTCGAGTTCAACAGCTCGGTGGCTCATTACGAAGAGCAACTCTTCGTCAGTCCCTCAGCCAGCGAGATAGGAGTTCTACAATCCCGGATCTCTGACCTCGAAAAGGAGGTAAAGAAGCTCAGGTCCTCGGAAGCTTCTAACCGTGCTGAAGTGGAGAAGGCGGTTAAGTTCAACAAGAGGCTTAGAACCGTTGAGGGTGACCTGCAGATCGCCGAGTCATCCCTGGAGACTTGCCAGGACAAGCTCCAATTGGCCGGTGAGCTATACCTAAAAGCGACCACTGTCGAAACAGAGGCGAGGCAAGAGCTTCAGGAGATCAAACTTCGGAACCAGCTTCTGGAAGCGGGTAACAGCTCCGAGATGGAGAGGGTAAGGAGAGAGGAGCGGAGGAAGACACGGGCTGAGCTTCGGAGCACGATCGATCAGATCGGGGCACATCTCTTGGAGCATGACCGTATGATTCCCCATGCTATCCGGGCTGCTGAGATCACCGCCAACCGAATGCTGGTGGAGGAGATCAAGAGGGGCGAGATCGCCGATCTGAAGGAGGAGCTTGAAACTCTGAAGGCTGACGAACTAACTGCCAACCTCGAGGCCGAAAAGGTAAAGAATTTATCCTTCGACCCTTCATCCTTCACCGCTTTACTAGCGGACACTCCCCCCGAACTCGGGCCGGATCCTGCTCCAACCACCCTGATGATTGAGGAACCCGCTAATGACCCCCCTGCTGTGCCGAACCAGGAACTGGAGGCGATCAAACCGGGCCTTAGCAAGGAGGTGCGCGAAATGTCCACCCCCGAGAGTGCTGGAGCTCTCGTAGGTGAAACGGCCGGCCTCTCGTCAGCTCGCTCCGGAGATCATACCGCGGATCCCGAACTCAATTAACTTTCTGCTGGGGTTGTGCTGGTCTTTGACCCCCCTTTTGTTTAAACTTTTTCTTATCGCTTTGCTTTTCATTAAGACAATACTTGAGTGTTTTTTTTTTTTTTTTTGACCACGGAGGTCACGCTCTTATGCTTTGATTTTTTGCTTAATTCGCTTTAATTTCAGCTATTGGTTATTGCTTACTTACTTTATTTTCAAGACATGGGAACTACTTTATTACCGTTTTTTTTAGAAATAAATATCGCTAGCTGGACTCGACAAACCGAGCTGCCTACGTACCCGACTAGGGATCAAGCGCACCGTAGTTCGGTTACAAATCATAAATGTATATTCCTTAAAAAGTGTGAAAAAGCTTAAGGTGCAAGGCATTCCACGATCTAGGTACTTGTTTCCCAGTCAGCTCTTCCAAGCGGAAAACTCCGCTACGCACCTCGGAAGTGATTCTATATGGACCTTCCCAATTTATGCCGAGTTTCCCGGCGTTAACCTCCTTTGTATTCTCATAAACCTTTCTTAACACAAGGTCGCCCACGTTGAGTTCGCGGTTCCTGACCCTTGAGTTATAATACTTTGCGATCGTGCTTTGGTAATGTTGTAGACGAAGCAGGGCTCGATCGCGCTTTTCATCGATAAATTCTAGGGCATCCCGAAGAGACTCTTCGTTCTCCTCGGGTATTTTGGGGTTCAGAGTTACCCGGACTCCTGGCACAGCGAGCTCCGCCGGAACTACTGCCTCCATCCCATATACTAGCGAAAAAGGGGTTTCATGCGTAGACCGTCGAGGTGTAGTCCGGATGGCCCACAACACGCCCTGCAACTCTTCGGCCCATCGCCCTTTATACGAATCCAGCCGTTTTTTCAAATTAGCCAAGATTACTTTATTCATAGCTTCGGCCTGCCCGTTCCCCTGCGGATAGCGAGGCGTGGACTTGCTCAACCGGATATTCCAATGGGCGCAAAAAGCTTCGAACTGCTTTGATACGAACTGTGATCCATTATCGGTTACAATTTCGTACAGAAGTCCGTGACAGCAAATCACGTCCCTCCACACGAACTGCTGGACCTGAGTGCTTGTTATAGCGGAGTATGCAGTCGCCTCCACCCATTTGGAGAAGTAGTCGGTAAGAACCAGTAGGAACCTTACTCCCCTCGTCGAGTTATGCAGTGGTCCTACTATATCCATCGAACACCTCATGAACGGGTACGGAGCCGAAATTGACGACATAAGTTCTGAAGGTAGGTGAATCGTGGGCGCATGCTTCTGGCATTTCTCACAACTCCTCGCATACTTCTCGCAATCCGCCTTCATCGTTGGCCAAAAGAAGCCATAACGCTTAACCTTGACCACCAGAATCCGGGCCCCCGAATGATCCCCATTAGGTCCATCATGGATTGCCCGCATTATTATCCTTGGTGACTCGCCGGCGACACAAGTTAAGTAAGGACCTCCGGTGCTGCGGCGAAGTAGACCCTCGTTGTGTATGCAAAACTTGGCCGATATGATCTTAACCTTCCGAGCTTGCCACTTATCCGAGGGGAGCTCGCCTTCCTTTAGGTAAGCAAGGATAGGAGCTCTCCAGTCCACTCCCTGGCTACCCGCAGGGGGCTCTGGCTCACCTCCAAATTTTTCCACCCCGGGCTCCTTACTACAAGGAGTTCGGGTACCTGGGGTTCCGGATGATACTTCGGACCTTCCCCACCTTCAGGGGAAGAAAGATCCATAGGGACTTAAGCGTCCCTCCGAACTCTGACGGTCCTGGTAGGGACAACGGGTCTCTCGGGCACCGCCTCTCCCTTATCAAGTCGGCGCTGCATCGACCTGGTAAGGATATTTACCTCACTCAAACAGACGCTGGGTCATTCCAGGACCTCCACGGGGATAATCCGAGTGAACATAGGGTCCGAAGTTGAAGCGAGGGACGCTAGCGAATCAGCAGCCGAGTTCTCGGCCCTCGGAATCTTCACCAGTTCGAAGTGCTCGAACCGCTTGGCTAATTCTTTTGCTGCGGCTAAGTAGGCCTCCATGCGCCCGTCCTTTGCCTCGTATTCACCCGAAAATTGACTTGCCACCAACTGTGAATCACAAAAAGCGCGGAGCTGCCGGACCCCGATCCCCGCGGCCAACCGGAGCCCAGCTAACAATGCTTCGTACTCAGCTTCGTTATTCGAGGCGTCGAATGCTAACCTAAACGACTGTTCAATCACCTCGCTAGAGGGTGCCCGTAACCTTACTCCGACACCGCTGCCGTGTTTAGACGAGGCTCCATCCACATGGAGGATCCATGGTCCTTCCACTTCCCCTTCTGCTTCGGCAATAGGCAATTCGACCAGGAAGTCGGCGAGCACCTGGGACTTAGCGGCAGTTCGAGCCCGGAACTCAAGATCATACTCGCTCAGTTCGATTGCCCACTTCGCCATTCTTCCAGACTGGCTTGGGCTATGGAGAATGGTCCTTAAGGGCTGTGAAGTTAGGATCACGACCGTGTGGGATTGGAAATACGGCCGAAACTTCCTAGCCGAGGTAACCACGGCAAGGGCCAACTTTTCCATCATGGGATAACGAGCTTCAGCTCCCGTGAAGATTTTACTTACATAAAACACTGGTCTCTGGTCCCCTCGCTCTTCCCGAACCAACACTCCACTAACGGCGTGATCCGACACCGCGACATAAAGAAAGAGGGGTTCTCCGAGCTCAGGTTTAGCGAGGACGGGGGGTTCAGATAAATACCGCTTTAGTTGCCCGAACGCCTCCTCACATTGCTCATCCCACCGGAAGCTCCTGTTGCCCTTCCGGAGAAGCTCGAAGAAAGGCAGACACTTGTCGTTGGACCTCGAGATGAACCTATTAAGTGCTGCGACTCTTCCATTCAGGCGCTGCACCTCGCGAAGGTTCCGTGGTGACGTCATTGACAAAAAGGCCTTAATTTGCCTCGGGTTCGCCTCTATCCCTCTTTCGGTCACAATGTAGCCTAAGAATTCCCCCGAAGGAACTGCGAAAGTGCACTTGGTGGGATTCAATTTCATACCGAACTTATTGAGGATCGCGAAGCAATCCTCGAGATGCCCGACGTGCTGATTGGAATTCATCGACTTCACCAGCATATCGTCAATGTACACCTCCATCGTTTTTCCTAATAACTCGGCGAACATCCTATTAACCAATCGCTGGTAGGTTGCCCCTGCGTTCTTTAATCCAAATGGTATTACTTTGTAGCAAAAGGTTCCCCGATCCGTAATAAAAGACGTCTTCTCCTGGTCATCAGGATGCATCATGATTTGATTATACCCCGAAAAGGCATCCATGAACGTGAGCAGTTCGTGCCCCGAAGTGGACTCCACCAGTCGGTCAATATGCGGGAGAGGGAAACTATCCTTGGGGCATGCCTTGTTTAGATCAGTAAAGTCAACACAAACCCGTGACCTGCCATTTTTCTTCTTAACTACCACCGTATTCGCCAACCATTCTGGGTACTGAACTTCCCGGATAAGTCCAGCTTCGAGTAAACGGTCCACCTCGGCATTTACCACGTCGGCCTGTTCTTTTCCCAATTTTCTACGCTTCTGCCGAACTGGCCTGAAGGCCGGGTCGACGTTGAGCTCGTGTGCTATCACGTTGGTATTGATACCAACCATTTCTTTCACCTCCCATGCGAAGGTTGACTTATTCCGGCGTAGGAAGCTAACCAACTCCTCTTTAACTTCCGGGGACAGACCCGCCCCAATTTTAACTTTTTGCTCGGGGAACAATTCATTCAACTCTATTTCCTCGTAGAGATCGCCGCTGAGCTTGACCTTCATCGGATTCTTGGCGCCCCCGAGCTGTGGTTGCTATTGGACCAATAGCTTATGTCCAGCCAAATAGCAGCTCCTGACAATTCGCTGACTGCCCAATATTTCGCGGACTCCGCCCGGCGTTGTAAACTTGACGCACTGGTGGTAAGTGGATGGGACTGCCTTCATTTGATATAACCACGGAGTCCCTAGAATGGCGTTGTAAGCTGCAGGTCGATCGAAGACGGTGAACTCCACCATTTTAGACGTCCCTTGCACGGCAACTGGGAGGGTTATGGTCCCCAAAGACATTGAGGTCTCGCTGGTAAACGATACCAAAGGAGCTGGAGGTCCTGTAATATGACTCTTATCGATCCCCATCCTGACGGGTGTATCCAGGAAGATTAGTTCTACCGAGCTCCCTGTATCGACCAATATCCGGCATACTTCGTGGTTCGCTACATCTAATGCAATGACCAGCGCGTCATCGTGGGGGGAGTCTAGGCCCTCGGTCTCCTTTTCCGAAAAAGTTATCTCGGGGTAGACTTCGCACGTTTTCTGCCTCTTCGGAACTGACTCATTCAGTTTCCTCTGGTGATCCTTTATGGCTCTGACGGAGTTCCGGAATATCCTGGACCCCCCCATAATCACGTCAATACGCTTCCTCATTCCTTGGGGGATCTCTTCGATAAGGGCCTTAGGCTTTTTCGCCGGTGGGAGCTCCTCCTCCTCAGGAGCCACTTCAGCTACGAGCTGGACAGTGTTTTGTGCTTGATCGAGTTCCTCCGCTAACGAACCTCTCCGCGAGCAGGTGCATTAGCTTTTTGCAGTTCCTGGTGGCATGCCCGGCGACCTTGTGGAGTTCGCAGAAGGAGTCATCATCATGCTCTTCTCGGATCCACTTATTAGTGGGCGAGGCCCCGTTCCTACCTCGCGGTCCAAATCCTGACTTCGACGGGCCCCCTTTCGGGCCTCCCTTCTGGTGGTCCACCGCGAAGGTGCCCGGCCCCGGCTTTTGACCTTGCGAACTCCGCCGGGCTCCTTGATCGAAGCTCGGCTTGGGGCTCACCTTGTACTTCTTCGCAAGGCAGCTTTTTCCTCTTCCGCTACTATCCAGTTCGAAGCTCGATGGAGGGCATCCTGAATACTGGATGGGCGGTTAACCGTCAACTCCTCCCTGAGCCGGGATTCATGCCACAAGCCGTTCTTAAGGGCGGACAACGCTGCCGAATCGGAGAGTCCCGGGATCTGGACCATTATCTCTTTGAACTTTGTGATATAAGACCGGAGTGAGTCGCTCGGTAGCTGAGCATCGGTCACACCAGCTCCTATGAAGCTAGAATACTGTTTCACGAATGTAGTGGAGAGCTGGGTAAAGCTATCGATCGTGCCTTCCTGAAGCGAAGCGAACCACAGGAGGGCTGGTCCGACAAACGTTTCGGCGAAGAGCTTGCAATATCCCGCGTCCTCCTCATGAGGCTCGAAATCTACCCTTCCCACCGTAAGGAGGAAAGTATGGAGGTGAACCTTAGGGTCCCCTTTCCCCTCGTAGCTGAGAAACTTGACTTTTCGCGCATCCTTGATACGCATCGCTGAAATTCTAAGAGAGAAAGGAGTTCGCTTTGACTCCTCGATAACCCGGTCAATGTCCGGGGCAGAGCTCGTCGCGTGATGGACTTTTGATTGCATGGCCCGGATCTCATTCTGAAGGAATGAAATTTCCGGGTTGGGCACGACCACCCCCCCATGACGAGGTGGAGTGCGGATATGACCAGGCGTGGGATTCCTACTCGCAGGAGGGGGAGTTTCCCGTCCGGAGTCCGAAGTGGCCGCCCTCCGCGGGAGCGCCGACTCCGACAGACCAGCCTCTCTTGGCTGGTTTCCTGCCGAGCCCGTAGTGACTGGGAGAAATGGCCCCCCGCTCCCCGGAGATGCTGTTGGTAATGCCCCTCCAAAGTCCAGCATCCGGGGCTTGCGGAACGTAGCGCCAACAGGTGTTCCTTCCATGAGTGCATCCACCTGAGCCGCATAGGCATTATGGGCGTTGGACAGCTCGGAGACGGTTTCGGACAAGGCGGCCACCTGTGCGGTGGACCGTTCCTCGAATCCTCCGAGCTTCTCCGAGAGTGCGGCCGTGGCCGACTGTTGCTGCTCTGTTTTCCCGGATAAATCCTGCAGTAACTTTTGAATAGAATTGAGAGTTACCTGGCTATCGTCATTCGACATCTTGCTAGGCTGATGACTTGAGGTCGGATACAAGGAAACGGTGGGTTAGGGAATAAGGGTCCCCACAGACGGCGCCAAAATGTGGGAGTGGGATCCACGAGCTGGAGATGGGATGAACTTCAGTGGGTTCCTGATCCCCTGTCCGAACTTGCGATAAGACTTGCCAAACGAGAGAAAATTGCTTTCAGTTTTATTCAGTATCTTTAGTCAAAAATCCGACCCCTTACACTTAGTTCTTTCCCCCTACTTATATTATTCTAACATACAATTAATGATCAGCGGGCTCCGCTCCGTAAATCACGCTTTCCTCATCAAGGCTCCGCTTGACCCGCTGATAGCCCGTTTCGATTCTCTTTTCGAACTCTCGATTTCTTGACAGCATACACCTATTGGGCCGGGATCAGCTCCTATAGTGGGCTTTGGCTAACAGCCCGGCAGCGAAGCAGGCCGTTAGCCCGGAATGCCAATTCCGGTACCCACAATATGTATTCATGTTTATTAAAAAAAGTTTGATCAGCTTAGAGTTTTAATGAGATATATGGTTACAAAGAAAACAAAAACTAATGAGATGGTGCAGGAGATACCAAGCTACAAAAACATATTCGATCATACACAATCATGGTTGACAGGGTTAGTTAAAGTCTAACGAAGTTTGAATAAAAGATCGACCACTAGTTATCAACACTTCCCGACGTTCCCGTTTCGATTGTACACCGATATACATTTATTTACATGCATATATATGTTTTATGGGGGGGGGGGGGGGGTTTGAGTATCACTTAACATATCATACGTGAATATCGAACATAAGAATTCACTAATAACTAAGTAGCTAGTGCCGCTTTTGTGTCATGTATGGTTGGTTGTCTCCCATATTGCATAAATGACATATAGAATCAACTAATTGTACTGTAAATAACTAAATATATATAATGAATCAGACCTAATTTCTACATATTAACATATTGTTCTTTATGGATATCTGACTCAGTACTCCTATGTCTACACTAACTTTCAGAATTTAAAATGAATTCTAAACAACTTGTGTTTATTAGTGGCTCCTCTAATATATCTTTTACAAAGCAATAATATATAAACGTTGCATATATATGAACTCCAGTTAGTTCACGTTTTAGAATGTCTATATAATTTTCATTATCCAGATTTAAAAAATATATATATATATTAGAATTAAAAGGCCATGTGATATCCTCATTATTAGCGTTTTGGCAATGGCAATGAAGTGTGCCATCCAGCAAATTAGCAACACTGGAGAGATAAATACTTTCCAATCACATACCCACTTGTTATTCTATATATCTGTTAAGAAAGTTTAAAAATACATTAGAACAAAATAAGTTGTAAGTTTCATCATGGAAAACATATTATTCATGATTTATATATAAAGTACTCCTTGTTTACGAAAATTGATCTTTCAACCATTTTCCGTGAATTGTTGATGTTTTTTCATTTCTATGTGCTATATATATCAAGATTTAATTTAATAAAAGATAAATTAAAATAATAATAAATAAAGGGCATGAATATATATTTATTAGGTAAACTACATTAATTCATCAATCCATTATTATATCCTATCGAATTTAACACACGTTAAAATAAGATACCGTAACTTTGGTTTGATTTTAAGTACAAAGTTTACTCACATATAATAAAACTAACCGAACCCAAAACTAAAACTGAAATGCCAATTAATTGAAATTGTGAGGTGAGAGGATTGCCTAAAGACTGAAGAGGTGTTTAAACCGAACCACAGCATGGTTGTTTATGCCCGAACACCATGCTATTATCAGTCCGAGTTGACAGGTTTTAGTTGGCCGCAAAGTGTTTAGATTTGTACATATGAAAGTGGACCCAACCATTTCACTTTGTTTCGCAAGTGGCTCCTTTAATATAACTTTCCTAAACTTTTTGACAATTTGGTTTTGGGCTTATGATTGTCATGAAACATATAGAAGCACACTTATACAAAGTTAAAGAACTTATCATATTCAAAAAAAAAAAAAAAAGTGGCAAAGGTAAAAAAAAAAAAAAAAAAAAAAGAAGAATAAACCGTCGCCTTTATGGGTTGAAACTTGAAAAAGATTAAATATTAGTTGAGGAATCATAAATCATGTTCTACCACCTCAATAATAGTTTGTGAACGTTTTAAGTAGCAAGAACCCCCCGGTTTTCACAAGCACACAAATTAATTTTATTTTAATCACACCTTAAAAGATCAATCCATGTTGTCGCGCGCGGACAACTTCTGAGTCTCCTGTTAGTCCTATGAGTTGCATCAAAACACGATGATCACTCGCCCAGACCAATCCACTCGATCGTTGCACAAAAGTCATGTCTTTCTTTATCTTCTCCAACATGATCAGTGCACACATAAAACCATTCTCTCATAAAGAAACTTATTATAATCCTGTGTGATAATATATGCTACTCTTGTTTATGTGCAATACTTTAAAGAAGAAATAGACATTGTTTTGGAATCTATTTTAACATAGAACTTGTCATTAAACTTATTGTTTTTGTTTATCAATGTATTCAAAACATATAAAAGCATATAATCAATATAATGATGGTCTCTTAACAAATCTTAGAACTAAGATTTGTTAATTATTGATTTTTTTTTTTAAACGACAGTCATTATTTTTAAAACTAGAGCTCGTTCGTTGATATTGGTAACTCCTGCCAGAGACGTTCCCTAACACCGAGCTTGCAGCAAACATAGACATCATGTGACGCCAGAACAATCTGATCATGAGAAAGGTTGCGAACGCCCCAATCACTCATACTTATCTCTTTATCTTTCCTCACTCCTTTGTGCCCCAAACACTTCTCCACAATCTTCTCAAAGGAACTATTCAGGGGCAACGTATACAGAAAGTCCCTTATGTCGAGAAGTCTCCAGATGTCCAACTGATGGTGGAATCTCTCGAGCTTGTACTTGTCTTGGCTGTTCCAGACGCCGACAAAAGTGACTGTCTCATCTTCCAAGAAACTTCGAAGGACGCTAGGCATGCGCTTACAGTAAGACAACTGGATGATGAGACAGCGGATACCGACGCATAACTGGAGAGTGTCCGGTGGAGGATCGGAACCACCTGGAGTCCATTGGACGCCGAGACCGACAACGAGAGGGTGTTTCAAACGAAGACGGCTGAAGAAGCGGATGCTCTGGATCCATCGGCGGATCACTGAGGTAGTATGAGTGACCGTGACGATCAAACGTTGTCTAAAGAAATCAACGTCGTATTCTTCGTTGATACGGTGCTTTTGGATTCTTCTTCTGATCCTACCCATGGCTATTTGAAACCTGTTAACTTAGAGAACGACGACACAGTCTTATGAATCTCAAGAGAACTAACAAAATAGAGGCTAGTTTCATATAACTGTATATACGAAAATCTCTATTAATACTTATCAGTTATCACAATAGAATATTCTTCGGTTTGAGTTTCAGCGGTTCAATTCATGAACGAACGTTGACGTCTATGATAGTTGGACCGGTTCCCAAATTATCTCCAACTCCAATAGTCGTCGCATGGACAAACATGGTATATATGAAACGCTGACTTTTCAATCACGAAGTAGAACCTGTCTATATGTCCACATGGACACGACGGATTCAGAAATATCAACCGACTCCTCTTAATAAATTAGGTGCATGATACACAAACAAAATTGAACATATATAATCAAAGATCACTCTTTAATTCGAAAAACCTAGATAATTTATTAAAGTTAGGAAAAAGGAAGCTCTTCTACGGCTTTTGTAAAAATATATAAGAGTCCACAAATCAAACTAGAAATAATGTCAAAACTTAAAACATGAGTGGTTTTTTTGGTTTACACAAAAAAAAACATGAGTGTTTCAATATAACTCCCCTGTACTATGCTCAAACTCTCCAGTAATACCAAAACACTAAAAATTATAATTTTAAAAGTAAGTCCTAGAGATAAGATTTATAAAAAAACTACGAACCCTAAAAATCCATTATCATATCTCCTAATATTTCTTGAACTCTTAATCCATATCAAATACTAGAATTATAAAGAACACGCAATATTAAACCAGAAATCTTGACTTTAACTAAATTAAGACAATCGTTTGGAATCAAGTGCTATAGAAAAACTTACCTCTTGAAGAGAAATTATAAGGATGATTGTTCACTAGAATCGCCCAGACCCGATCTGAGGTTAAATAAGAGGAGAGACATATATATATATATATATAAGCCCCGAAGAATATTTGTTTGGGATAAGAATATACTTATTACATTTTTACTGGACATTATAAGAAGTAAATATTACATAAGTCTAAATATTACATAATTCAATAGATCGAATTAATTCGTAAATTTCCTTTTTGTTAATATTTACCTTTTCTAATTCAATATATATATTTTATTTTCCTTTTCTTAATAATATAGGGGGATTTTTCGTCTCTCTTCCACCACACAAAAAAAGATGCAAAAGTTGTTGAAAGAAATTAGAATCAAAGATTACATGAATATACTAAAATCCTCTTGATGCAAACCAAGTCCGTAAGCCTCTTTCATACCTTTTATCTCCTTCTTTTTTAATGACTAATAAGAGTTTGTTCTGAACTTATTTTCCTTTTAGCTTTACGATTGTCACTTTTATAAAAAAAAAGACGGACCTTTGAGGTCTTGAATAACCAATTTATGATACGTATAGTTACAAAGATTTTACATGTTAGTTGAAGAACCATAACGTGTTCTTCCACTATGATCGATGTGACGATGTCAATCATTTTTGGTATGTGAACGTTTTAAATACCAAGAAAATCACAACCATACGTACGTACATGTTTATTTTACACAAAATGATTTTTAGTCATACCTTAAAAGATTATTTCACGTGTAGCGGTCAAAAATGATTTGTAATCACACGTTAAAAGATTAATTCACGTGTAGCGGACCATATATCTTCTTCCTTCGAAAGTCATCTGTGATCCAAGAGAAAGCATATATAGGTCCATTACCATTAGTCTTATGAGTTGCATGATGCAACTTGCATCGAAACAACAATGATCACTTGACACGGACCGTGTCACACGGTTGCACAAAATTATTTCTTCATCCTTGTCCAACATATACACACACTACCAAATTTTATTCTCTCATCAAAGCAAATTACCATATATGCATGTCACTAATAATCCGAGCCGTTGGAAAATTACAATATTAATCAATTATATATAATATCTATAATCTTGTGTTGATATACATACGTATATATGGAGTCATGTTTTACTTAGATGCAACATTCTTAAAAATCTACACATATTTTTCAATAACTATGTTTACATGATATGATAATATGATATGATATGATAAACCCGTCATTATAATTCACTAGCTAGTTGTATATAAATCTCATGGTACTAGTGGCAGACGTGTAACCACCATCAACAACCAGGTTATGTCCGGTAATGAACCCTGAAGATTCTTGGCTTGCAAGAAACAAAGCTGCTTGAGCCACGTCCTCCACATTACCTGCTCTTCCGGTCAGCAAACTCCCTTTCTCAGCCACAATGTCGGTGACCTCATCAACGTCGAGTTTGTCATTGTTAAGGTACTTACGGTACGCATTTACCAATATGTCAGTGGGAACTCCATGAGGAGAGATGCTGTTCACACGAATACCATGAGACCCAAGCTCGCACGCCGTTGTCCTCACCAGCCCGTTGATGGCTCCTTTTGAGAGCGTATACGCGTGCCCTCCAAGTCCTCCCATTACCCCTGATGAGCTCGATGTGCATATTATCGATCCTCCTCCTCCCCCTCCTCGGTTTTAGATACATCATAGCTAAACTTAGTTAACTGAAACCTTATTATTACACTAATCCAAAACATAATTATATTTCAACATCCATCAGTTTCACTCTAATAGAACGAATCCGAATCAAAACCGAAACCGTATCAGGCTTGAAATCTGTTTGGATGCCCCTAACTAAAACACTTATATAATGTGGATTCAAGGTATTAGTAACAAACCTTTAATCATGGCCTTAGCAGCATGTTTGATTCCATGCAAAACACCATTGACATTGACCGAGACAAGTTTGTTAACCATGTCAACGTCCATCTCCATGATGCTACCTTCGTTGAACGTCATCCCTGCGTTGTTGAACATCACATCCAGCCTCCCCTTACGTCTCATAGCTAGCTCCACCACCGCCTCAACGTCAGCCTCCTTGGACACATCACAGTGAACGTAACACCCACCGATTGATTCCGCCACATGGATGCCTTCATTCTCAAGGATATCCGCTACTATCACATAGGCACCGTTCTCGGTGAATAGTCTCGCCGTGGCCGCTCCAATCCCTCTTGCTCCTCCGGTTATTATAGCTACCTTCTGGAATAATCTTTTTTTTGAGTTCACCATTTTATGTCTATTAACTATTTCTTGAGAGACTCGATCTTGTTGTTATATATGTTTCTTCTTGTTAGACATGCTCTTTGCCTCTCCATCAACTACTCTAATTTCTTTCACTTGTTAGTTCATTCATCTTCTTCACGTTAATGCAAGTTTGTTAAATAAAAGAAATATAGAATTTTAATTAGAAAAGAAACACATGATATATACATGTGTATCCAAAAAAAAATTAAAATTTTCTTGTACAAAAATGATACCCAAAGCTTTGAAAAATATTACATAAAACGTAACCTTTAATCGTTTATTATTGAGTTTAATTTGGAATTAAAAGACATCTAACTATTTTCAAATAACAGCTCTTTCCTCGCAACACAACCCAAGAAAACAAAGATTCAACATCCCACTTTCCAGAGACGTTCCCTAACACCGAGCTTGCAGCAAACATAGACATCGTGTGACGCCAGAACGATCTGATCGTGAGAAAGGTTGCGAACGCCCCAGTCGCTCATGCATATCTCCTTATCTTTCCTCACCCCTTCATGCCCCAAATACACCTTCACCATCTCCTCAAACGAACTATTCCGGAGCCACGAAGGCAGATAGTTTCTCATATCTAGAAGTCTCCATATCTCCAACTGATGGCGGAACCTCTCGAGCTTGTCCTTGTCTTGGCTGTTCCAGACGCCGACAAAAGTGATTGTCCGATCTTCCAAGAAACTTCGAAGGACGTTGGGCATGCGCTTACAGTGAGACAACTGGATGATGAGGCAGCGGTTACCAGCGCATAGTTGGAGAACTTCTGGAGGAGGATCCGTACCATGAGGTGTCCATTGGACGCCGAGTCCAACTACGAGAGGGTGTGGCGAACGTAGACGGTTGTTGTGGCGGACGGTGTGGATCCATTGGCGGATCACTGAGGCTGTGTGAGTAACCGTGACGATCAAACCTTCTCCGAAGAAATCAACGTGGTATTGGTGGTGAGTATGGCGCTTTGGGATTCTTCTTATCCTAACCATTGTTTTTTGAAAAGAGATACAAAGAAAGTGATGAGAGATAGACAAATGTTAAATAAGATATCAAAATCCGAACGTTGAACATTACGTTACAGAATTCGAATTTTGAAAAGAAAAAAAATGAAGACTATGAGATTTCATATCAAGGTATCTAGGGGAATATTTTGCTGGAATATAGCAGCTTAAGGAGGATATATATGATTTTATTAATTTGGGTGTTACGAAGCTCTAAGAGAATCACAAGATTAATTAAAGTTGAAATGATTTCTCGATGATATAGTTGTCAATCGGATGAGTCCAATTCAGCCCAAAAATGCAATCAACATAAGTTTTGAGGTTGTGTTTTAAAACCTGATCCAATTAGAAAGTGATAATGCATATATGTATATGATAAACTTATAATAATTTTGTGCTTTGCCTTAAAAAAACAAAACAAAACTAACTAATTAGAAGTAGTTAGTCGTTTGATTAACATACAAATGGTGTCGAATAAAATGTAACATAAATCACACATTATTAAGCTCTCTTTTTATTGCCTACGAACGTTTACCAACTTCATTAGTATACAATTTCTTTTTGAGTTCAATTGTTTAGCACAAACCCAAACAAAAGTGGGGGAAAGTAAGAAGCAACAACTCCTCTCTCCCCAGACTCTAACAAATCAACTAAACTCAAATATCAAACAACTCTTTAAAAGTTCATCATTAATTAGTTAGCTACTATATATTCCTAGTTAACCACTGCATAATACAAAGCACTATATAAACACTTGTCCATCTGCCATTAGTTACCACAACTACAAAACATTCGAATACACAACACACAAAGCACACAACTTAGTTTTTCTCTTAAACCCCCAAATTACAAGAGAAAATGGCGAAAGAGTCCACCACCATTGACGTAGGCGAGCCAAGCACCGTGACCAAAAGTTCAAGCCATGTCGTAGGTGACGCGAAGAAGAAGGGCTTCGTGGCAGCCGCCGCAGGAGGTGGCGCCAAGAGAGGTTTGGCCATATTCGATTTCCTCCTCCGTTTGGCGGCCATAGCAGTCACCATTGGGGCTGCCTCTGTCATGTACACCGCTGAGGAGACTCTTCCCTTCTTTACTCAGTTCCTCCAGTTCCAAGCCGGTTACGATGACCTTCCAGCGTTTCAGTACGTCCATTCCTATATATCTTCTTAATATCTAGTAACTTATATTTACAAAACTAATGCATATATAACATCTCTAATTAAATACGGTGAAACAGTTTCTTGAAATCAATTATTAAAATTCGATTTATTAGTAAGTCAACCCATGTTCCGGTTGTATCATTATGTGGTTAGTGAGCTAATGAAATATAATATAATCTGAAGGTACTTTGTGGTAGCCGTAGCCATAGTGGCCAGCTATCTAGTCCTTTCACTTCCCTTCTCCATTGTAGCTATCGTTCGTCCACTCGCTGTCGCGCCTCGGCTGATCCTCCTCATCTGCGATACCGTAATATACCTTATAACCCTATTCTATATTTCTTTATTTGTTACTTTCATATAATTCACTAACTTTTTTTTTATGTTGTGGTTGTATATAAAAGCTGGTCTTGACGCTGAACACATCAGCAGCAGGAGCCGCAGCATCAATAGACTACCTTGCACACAACGGCAACCAAAGCACCAACTGGCTCCCAATCTGTCAGCAGTTTGGAGATTTCTGCCAAAACGTCAGCACCGCGATTGTCGCCGGTTCTATCGCCATTGTCTTCTTCATCGTTCTCATCATCATCTCTGCCGTTGCTCTCAAGAGGCACTGATTTCCATCTTTTTAAGTGTCAAGATCGTAATGTACGAGTTGTATATGTGTTGTGGCTTTGTGCTTTGTGTAACAAATTGATATTATTGTGTGTAAAATGTAATTGAAGTTTGTAATATGTTTTAAAGAAATTTGTCTTTTGGTTAAAAGCTTCCGACTCATATAGAGGTTCTCCAAAGACAAAACCCAACAAGAGACACAAAGCTTAAAATCCCAAAGGCTACAGTCAAAATGTCAAATACCGATTCTACCCTCATCTTCTTCTCCTTCATCTCTCTCTTCTTCTCCATAAACTCTTCGTGTCTCCTCTTCGATTCTATTTCTCTGTTTCTTCCATTTACCCTTTTACCCTCCATTACTCTCCTCAAAATTACCAAACTATTCTTCCCGTTCAAATGCGTTCCCTCCATCTTCTCCACCTTCAGACTCACATCCCTCACGTGCATCTCCTCATCGCCGCACGTGACCACCGTAATCACACACTCCACCGTCTCCACCACCGTCGCGAACTGCGCCTCCACTTCTCCGCTTATCCAGTTCCTCTGTACCGACACAGGCCGGTGACTCGATAAATTCGCCGCTCGTCTCCCGATCGGATCAATCACTATCCAGCTCAAAGTCAGATCCTTCTCTAGATCACGACACGTGTCTTCCGTCCTCCGTCTTCGTTTAATCGGCGTCGCAACAGTATCCTTCGCGTCCACCAGATCGATCCTCAACGGCGAGCTCTTAAACCACGTCGTAGTTGTCTCCGTCTTCACGACTTTACTAAAAATCAATTTCCCTCTGTAGTGAAAATCAACGGCGGAGATCAGTTCTGGAAACGGACAGTCGAGATCAGAGACTGAACCGGCGGTGGTTTCAAATTCCACCATAGAATACGCGTCGGAGAAAAAAGAACGAGAACCGTCGGAGCAAGAAGGCCACGTGGATCGGCATATTTTGGACCAGAGAATCTCGTTGGAAGCGAGATTGTGAAGATGCGAAGAGACGCATGAGACGGAGGCTAAGGTTGCGCCGTCGAGACGTGTCAAGATGTGAGTTTCTATGATATCGTTATGGACGGTGGAGATTAAATCTGTTACGGCGGTGGAGGAGGAGGAAGAAGTAATAACCATCTCTGTTTGAGTGATTATTACTAATTGGGAGTGATTAGTTAATGATGTTTTTGTTAATCAGTGAAGCAGGAGTATTTATATAAGAGCGTCACAGTGTTTTTGTTTGACAAAATGGTCCATCTTTTTTTACTTTATTACGATAATACCACTGCATAAACGGGGGACAAGTTGATATGTTTTGTTTTTATATTAACGTCATTTTCTTTAATTTAATAAAAAATTTCACGCAATTATGTTGATGTTGAAAGAATGATTAAATAAGTAAAATTTTAAAAAATATTGAGTGATTGAAAAAGATCTATGTAATAGTAATACATAATTTCTTTTCATTTAATTCAATTGTATTTTTTTAATATATATCATATAGATTTTGGGTCAAACATTATAGATTGTTTGGAAATTTAAATTATAAATGAATTTAGCTGAATTATGCAACTAAGTTGATTCAAATAATTGATGGATCACATATTAATTTATTATAATAAGCTATTCAAAACAAAATATTATAAATTAGATAAACTTTGGGGAAAAAATTACAAAGGTTACATAGAAATTATCCATGCAAAGTAACCAAGCATCACCTCAGAGGCATTATATTTCAGGACAACTTGAGTATAATTATTCAACAACTTGTATTGCATGTTTTGTCAAACTATGTTTACTATTCAATCACATATAGTCTTAAAGATGCTAATTTTAGTCATCGTTTGTTAATTTTCAACACTAGTAATTAAAGTTTGTTTGATTTTTAAAAGACGCGATGAGAAATCATTGCATTGACCAAATGAACAAAGTAATCATGAAGATTTCTTGGTTTCACTTACAAATCAGTACCGTAGACAAGCTCTGATCTAAATGTACATGCGCAACCAATTAAGGTCAGAATCCTGAAAAGTGTTTATGGAAAAACAAAAACAAAAACAAAAAGATAGAGTGATGAAGATCAAAAACGTACACACATATGGGACGAGACATTCACAAACAAAGGACTCATAAAGATACGTAAGAAAGTGGAAAAAGGATGGCCCATATTAACCTCTTGTATTTGTTCAGGCTAGTATCACATAACATAATTAAATAGCATCTCATCTTTCTTATTTCTATCACCCGTAATTTCAATTAAACAAGCAAAGGTCGGCTACACAGTGTATTAGCAAAATGAATGAGACACAATGGTTGGAGACTTTAGTTATGTTTTTTGGTTGATGTAAGAAACATGTCCACGCAAACTGACACAATGGTGTTTATAGTGTTTTCTTTGAACTTTTTGTTTAGGTGATTGAGTTTTTCTTTTTCAAATTTTGAATATATAAATTTCATTTCAGAATCATATTTAATATACTATTAAGGTTTAATCTCGTAGACGCTTAAACCGCATGAAACATGACTAGGCAGTTAAACAAATCAAATCGCTATTTGCTTATTACTTATTTAGCTTTTTCTTGCACATTGACAATGAGACATTATTTACAATTTAATAAAATTTCAAAAACAACAAAAAACAACAGGGAATGGACAACCTTAAAACAACACTAGATTAAGGGTTCCCTTAAATTTGAGTTAAGATATCACCTCCGATTAGGTTTATACAGCTCTCTGTGTTAAATAAAATAAAATAAAAAACTAAACAAAAAGGAAAAGGCTCGATGAGAAAAGGAAAGACCAACAATGATTTACATCAGCATGACTTTAATTTTTTTTTGTTTGATAAATAACGTTATCTTGGCATTTTCTTACATACTACAATTAAGTAGTGAAATGTACAATAAAAAAGTTAATTAAAAGACTAATAAAAGGGTATATGTTAATGATATATTAGTGTTTTCAGGGTTTTCTTTTTGTCATGCTTTGGAATTTTCTGAATTAATATAGACGTCGTTTAAGGCCATAATATGGACTTGTTTGGGAAGCAGCATTGGGTCGATGGACTTTACTGACCCAATCGACTGGTCAGGTGCACGGTGTACCAGTCAACCCAATGGTCATGTTCCTTAGTCCATAAAGATTTTGATCTTACGCAGTTTCTTTATAAAAAAGAAAAAGAAAAATTCCATGTTGTGAGACCTATATTAGTTTTATGTTAGTTCAAAATATTAGTTTGTGATTAATAGTTTAATACAGACTTAATAAACTAACAATTTGTCGGTTTCATTTGCGTCATATTAAAATAAGCCAACGACATTATTGTATGTGTATCCGGTTCCTACTCTCAACCTAATTTTCCCTTTTTGACATACTACATCCACTGGATTTATACAGTTACGATTTGAATTGTATAACTTATATAGTCAACGCGACTGATGTTAGCCAATGTATTGATCTATCTACAGTTTATGATACATGCTGAAGATATCATTAAAAAGAACCAAACCTTTTTTATAGTTGTTTCCAGATGCTGAAAACTAAAATGTGAGTTATAGAAAAAACAAAAACTCATGATATCATGGTTTGTAGGTTTGAAGCAAGGATAACTTAGGCTAGGATATTGCAAGATGTTTTAAATTTGGAGGAAATGAACAAACCTTGATTAGTTCTAAACCGGGGATAAAGAGAGATCGATGTATTGGTCAAACTTATATTTGGTTCTTTCCATGTCACAATTTTGGATCAGGTTCTGGTTTTCCTATACGCTAACCGGTCACAGAAATGGGCTCCTCTTATAGACTGACTATATAGGTTTAATCCACGATTCGGCCAATGTCTGGATATCTCCATAAGATTTTGCATAGAGACTATAATCAAACAGGCCCAAGTTAGAGTCCATGTAACAACAAGTGGGAGATTTTGGAGTTTGTGGTACCACGGTTAAGTCTCGAATATCTCATGCTAATTATATGCTTATATATGAGAAACATCCATATAATCTCTTGTCCATGGTATGCACTATACATATTCTATAATATACTGTATTTCGTAAAGAGAATATATATATAATAATAACATTTTCATCTGTCCATATGGAGCGGACTATACTTTATTCACATTACTTTTAAACTATCGAGTCAAGTCAATTACAAACTTAATTACACAATTTGTTTTAGGGACATCTCATTTGTGTCAGTGCTCAATACATTATTCGTGCCATAATTCTCTGTATTGAAAAGCAATCTTGAACTCAATTACTTCTAAGTGCAATGAACTTGTGGAGATGATCTCATATCTTTTTCAAAACAACATTTTTTAAGTATTAATCCAGGTGTGTCAGATACCTACTAAATCAAACTTGGATTCTTTTGTCTATTTTTAATTATTACATATTAATTTCGTAATCAAAAAGTCTACAAAATATCGTACGTGTATATGTACACAAATGTACATGCATAGTGCACACATACTTAGACGTAGGTGTACGTAGTGGCACGTGGGTATACTAGCCTAGATACTTCTGATAATGTTTTTTCCTTTGTCACTATATGATTTTAAATTGTTGATGCTTTTTATTTAAATTATAGAAAAATATACTACAAAATACGAACTATAATGCTGCATAATCTAAAGTTCACTATTAATTTAGTCGGAGGAGCTATATGTCTTTAATTTGGCTGCTACCAATTATGAAACGACGTGACAAAGTACTGGTTTAGGGTCGAACTTGGAAAATATGATTCATTTTAAGTTTTAAACCTCAAGCAAACAAGCCATGTACGTTTACATCTGACTTCAGAATTCAGACACTTTAAAAAAGGTTATATACATATATACTAAATACGTCAGATCCATGTTCAAGATTAGACAAAGTGTTTCTACAAACAACCTCATTGTTATATTACCATTCACATCACAACACAAATCACACTGTGTTCACGTTGTCCCACTGTTTGTGTCACCGTTACACCACACCGTCTATATTAGACTCACCGTCGTCTTGCTATTGTGCTACTATAACACTAATTAAGTCAAATTTTCAGTCTGAATAGTTTGCTTTAGAATAGTATATAAAATTATAAATGCTTTTGAAATTTGAATATCGACTTGGATATTCGGAGACAAAATGGAAAAAATGTTTATTTATAAAAGTGATTGGTGGAATATACCGAACAAAATTGAAGCTTATTGTTGGTTAACTTGTCCGGTAGCTAATTTATTTATTCCAGTGAACCTAGCTATAGATTTACATATATATTTACATAACCATATTGTTCCAGTAATAAAACTTCCAAATTCAAGTTCTAAAATAAGATTTATTTTAGACAGAAACAACTATAGAACATCACAGTCACACCATATATGTATATAGTTGATTGATATGAGAAAATAACTATTTTCTTCTATAATAATGTAAGACTTCGTAGTTGTTCGAGTAAAATTTTTGAATAAAATTGGAGGACGAATAATTGATCAGAACAGTTACATTTACTAAATATTTTTTAGGATAAATCCAAGAGAGACTTCAACTTCATAACCGGTCCAAAATATCATATTCCCAATTGCTCATCCGGAACCAATGGTTAACTTAATCGAACCTGATTTCTTGAATCGCTATATATGTACTTGAGAAATATATAGGTCTACGTCACGGCATAACATGGAGATTTTAGTTTGTATACGTCGCATGTATATGCATCATGTATATATATTTTTATAAATAAAGAGCATCATAGATATTTAGTATAGTATTGAAATACTAAAGAAGTTATTGGGATCATAAACGGGAACACAATAATTGCGAAAAGGGAATCAAAAATGAGAGTACAGCAAAGCAAAATATATAGCCTTAAGCGTATAGAGACACTTCGTGCATGGTCAAGCTCTATTTAGTCTCACTCACTTGCCTTGCAATATAATCTCTTAATGTAATCTTTTTATTAAAAAATAAGTTATTTCATGAATCCAAAGATCTCTCCTAAAATTTTACAATTTCTTGGAATTTGTTTGTCTCTCTTTATCTATATATGTATTTTATTTATGATTCCCTATCTTGATTCTTCGCTAAGGATCCATGTTCTTTTCTCTGCTGCTCTTCTCATTATTGTTTTCTTTTCCTATTCTCCTACTCATATTGCAATATTCTTTTATGATAAGATAAATATTTACTGATTTCTAACTTGCATTAAATCAAAAATTTCAAGGAAACGTTTCTACAAATTTACTTACAAAGTATAGTAATTTGTTTTCCTTCTTGTTTCAATGTCAACTATCTTTTTCATTTTTTAATAAAAACTCTCTATTGAAT